AATCCTGTCAACAAGAAATCTTCTAGCAATGCTGCCAGCAGGCTCTTGGGACAGTCTGCAGAAGCATGAGATCAACGAGTCCATGCTCTTTGTAAATTACCCAGTCAGTAGCGTTCAGCTGAGGTAACAAGGCACACTGAGGCACCGAACATTGTCCACAGCTTCTCTTACAGAAAGAGGAGATCAACAACCCCACAGGGCAATGCTCGCTGCTAGCAGATGAAGCTCATTACAGCTAGCCTCCTCTGCCTGCCCAGTCAGACCCCTTTAAACAATATATATTTATTTTAAAAAAAGATTTATTTCTTTTTATTGCAAAGTCAGAATATAGGAGGAGGAGAGGCAGGGAGAAATATCTTCTGTCTGATGATTCACTCCCCCAAGTGACTGCAAGGGCCAGTGCTGTGCCGATCCAAAGCCAGAGCCAGGAACTTCCTCCAGGTCTCCCACACGGGTGCAGGGTCCTAAGGCTTTGGGGTATCCTCGGCTCTTTTCCCAGGCCACAATCAGGGAGCTGGATGGTAAATGGAGCTACTGGGATTAGAACTGGTGCCCATATGGGATTCTGGTGTGTTCAAGATGAGGACTTTATCTGCTAGGCCACTGCACCAGGCCCTATTTATTTTCATTGGAAAGTCAGATCTACAGAGAAAAGGAGAGACAGAGTAAGATATTCCATCTGCTGGTTCACTCCCCATTTAGCTGCAATGGCCACAAGTTTCTTCTGGGTCTCCCACACCACATGGGTGCAGGGTCCCAAGACCTTAGGTCATCCTCAACTGCTTTCCCAGGCCACAGGCAGGGAGCTAGATGGGAAGCGGGGCCACCAGGACATGAACCAGCACCCACAGGGGATCCTAGTGCATGCAAGACGAGTACCTCAGACACAAGGCTACCATGCTGGGCCCCAGACTACTTTGATAATACGTATTTCAGAGGGCCCCATTTACTACCCTGAAATGATGCTCACCAGGCAATAGATTCAAAACACTGTGAAAGAAAACAAATACACAGAAAGCATTTTACTTTGTGAATGAGACACAACTCGCTCCCAAAACAATGCAACCAGACATTGGCACCTTAATGTGAATTCTCTGTGGCTGTGACTTTACAAATACTGACTAACCCGGCCTGGCTTTGATGACTCAAAGGCCAAAAGAGTTAAAACAAATCACATGTACTCCATCCAGGGGAAAATAATGCATTGGTGGTAGTCATACTGCTCACCAGTATTTCCCTTCTCTTTCCCAACCACTTCCAACTCCACAGAAATTAGACAAGGTCAAGAGACTTGCTTTTGTCAATAAACTGTGGGTTAGTTAAGTGTTGATGCAAAACTCTGCCCAGAGTAACCCAGGCTTCTTGTTAGCTCAGTAAGGTACATGAGACCACGCAGTTTGGAAGAGGGAAACTGGAGGACCTTTCTAAGTCAGACCTATGCATCCACCTATGTGGGAGGCCTGAATGGGCTAGTTAGCGTCAACCACTGCCTACCACCACCCACTAATGCAAACGAAAGCTAGAACTGGAGGGCCTGTCTCGCAGGGCTAGACAACAGTACCCACCAGTGAGTGCTGGAACAAGGGATGGGTCACATTAGGTTGGGCCATGACTCTATCGGGCAGGTGAGAGAACCAGACCTGGGACAGGTTCTATGAGGGATGGGTGGGCTCACCCCTGTGGGACTGTAATACCTAATGGTTTGCTCAAGAGCTAGGGGTGGTGGCAGGCCAAGCTACACATGAACATGGAACTCTCTGACACTCATGGGTACTGAGACTGGGATCAGGACAGGCAAATCCAGGCTTCACCACCTGTAGGCACACACAAAAGCCAAGAGGTAGTGGGCGGGGGAGGATGGACTATGCCAGATAGGGGCCTAGCACCCAATGGCATGAATGAAATCTGGGTCTGGGAATGGATCTGATTGGGAGAACTTGGGAACTCCCCTACTAGGCTGTAACTCCTGCTAGTGAGCACGTGAGTCAGGGTTGGGTGTTGGTCAGGCTAGGCAAGGCAGCTTCATTTGTCAGCAGGTGTAGGTGTTAGCTCAGGGGGGCAGACCAGACAGGGCCAGGGCAAACAATAGTATGCTGGCTTATTTGGAGCCAGAATGGGATGCAAGCTATGTTGGGTTAGGCTATCACACCTACCAGTTTGTATGAAAGCCAGGGATGGTGGCAGGCTAGGCTGAAGCACCCACAAGCAAGAGTTGGCACTGTGGTGGGCCAGTCCAGGCCAGCATACAGTGGCAAGGGCCAAGACGGAGGTTAGACCATGCCAGGCTGGGAATAGGTCAGGTGGGGGAGTTAAGGGGACACTGCTGCTGGGCTGTGGTTCTCACTGGTGAGCATGAGAGCTGGAAATGGGGGCAGACTGAGTTGAACATGAGTGCAACATCCCTCAACCTGTCTGTGGGCTGGATCTGGTTAGTACCCATTAGCACTTAGGAGAGCCCAAGGGGGTGTGGGACAGACTGAGCTAGGTCACAGTACTTGCTGATCCACATGAGAGCCAGATCTGGGGGTTGGCCAGACAGGGTTGGGCTGTAGCACCCACCAGTGAGAACTAGAATGGGTGTGGGCTGGTCTTGCAAGACAATAGTGTCCAATGGTGTTGCTCAGGACTGGAGGTGGGCCAAGTCAGGCTGAGCAAAACAGCCACTGGTTTACAGAAGATCTGCAACTGGAAGTTTGTCTATTAGGAAAACTTGGGGAACTTCCCTGTTAAGATGCGGCCCCAGCAGGTGCGCACTACAACCAAGGCTGGGTGCAGTCAAGGCCAGGCTGGGCTACACATTGGCATCCATGTGGGTCAAGTCTAGGAGTGGGGCTGGGAGTCTGTAACACCCACTGGCAGGTGCAAGAGTCAAGATATGGTATAGGCTAGGCTAGTCTGGGATGCAGCACCAACAAGTTCACATTAGGGCTGGGACTAGGTGCTGGCCAGGCTGGACGAGGCTCTGAATGATCCGGGACTGGGGACAGGCCGGACGGTGCCAGTCTATAGCACCTGCTAGCAAATGCAAGGTGGGACAGGTCATGCCTGCCTGGGCTACAGCACCCACTGGCACATCAAGACCCCAGGGAGGGAGTGAGCTTGTTGGGGGGTGGTTGGGGAGGCCCCTGCTGGACAACTACTCCTACTGGGGAATGTGAGAACTGGGACTGGGGTGGTTGAGGCCACTGCCTCCACTGGCACATGTAAGAGACAGGATAAGTGCCACTGACCAGGCTTTGCACAGCACCCACTGGCAAGTTCTGGGATAGGGTATAAGTCATGTCAGACTGACCACAGTAATCCCTAGAAAGTGCAAGATCCAGGACTAGGACTGGACCTGGAAGGGAAGCTGTAGGGACTCCTCTATCTGGCTGTAGCTCTCACTGGTGGGCATGAGAATTTGGGCTAGGGGCTGACTAGGTTGGACAAGGTGACAGCACCCGTCAGCATATGTGTGGACTGGATCATGAGGTAGGGTGGGCTGAGCTAAGCTGCAACAACACCCATAGGTGTATTAGGATACAGCATGGATTGGACTAGTCTGCTACACATACTGGCACACGCAAGAGTTGGGGCCAGCCAGCTGCCTGCTTGCAACCAAGAGCCCAGGCTCTGATGTGCTGAGCTTGAACAAACCATCATTGTGCACTTGGATCGACTTCCTGGTGATTTCTAGGGATCTCAAACTCTGGGCACAACACATGGAGGACCCGGAAGAAGCTCCTGGCTTTGTTTTTGTTTTTTTGTTTGTTTGTTTCTTTGTTTTGGTTATTGTTGTTGTTTGTTTGTTTGGCTCCTGGCTTTGGATCAGCTCAGTTCCTGTGGTTGCGGCTACTTGGGGAATGAATCATCTGACTGAAGATCTTCCTCTTTGTCTCCTCCTCTGTACATCTGCCTTTCCAATAAAAATAGATCTTAAAAAAAATCTTAAAAAAATAAAAGCAGTGATGATCTGATGAGGCTTTGCTTGGCCAAACTTAAGTCAGCCTTCTGGACCTCCTCGTTGGCCCACCAGCACACTTTCTCCACAAAATCAGTTGGATGGGAGAGCCCTGCTAAGGCACATCTGCCAAGCACTCACTGCCAACAGTCCACACTCAGCGTGCACTCAGGTTTCCCATTCTGCCTACTCTGTTCCTGGCTCCCATGCTTCCTAGGGGTCTGATCACCCTTCAGGAATCCTGTTAGGTCAGCTAGGTCAAGGTCCAGTTCCCACACACTGACCCACCCTGCTCCTGGACTGCCCACCCCAATGCCTGTTTGCTATTCTGATCTGAGCTCACTCTGCTGTCTACCACAGCAGCCCCTACCGGTCAGCGTGGCCCTGCAAGTGGGGAGACACCTGATTTCTGCCTGTCTGCAGCAAGTTCTAAAGCTTTCTAAACATTCTGGGGTTCCTGATAGGACTTTGTAAAGTGTTAAATACTAATGAAACGCTTCTGTTTTAACCGACTTTCATCCTTTCCCAAAGGAGGCCGAAAAAACGGTAATGGATTATGGGCATGTGCCCAAGTCCTGAGCTGAATGCTAAAGAAAGTCGTTACTTTGCAATGCTCCTAGGTAATGAGCCCAGAGTCGTCCTTATCCTACCTATCAGCAGGACCCAGCTCAGCTGACTTAAAAACAACAACAACAATCTGCTCTCAGGGGCACCTCTGTCACAATTTTCTGGAGTCGCCCTCATAGCTTTGCAGACTCCTGAGGAAAGGTAACAACAAAGTAGAAAATAAAAATCATAAAATGGAAATAGCACAAAGTGAGAAGGCAAGGGTGCCCTGTTACCTTTCTCCTTAGGTGCATAAGGAGGAAGTTCTAGAAGAACTTTCAACAAGTGCTCCAGTTACAGAGAATGTTAACGGAGGCGCTGATTTGAGGGGAGGATCTTGGGAACACAAAAATTATGCGAGGACGCAGGGCCGCCTGCTCGCACCACGCCCGTCGGGTCGCGCCCGCCCGCCCCGCGCCCACGTCCCCGCCCGCGGGGCCATGTGACGCGGCCAACATGGCCGACGGGGACGACGGCTCCCCGGCGGGGCGGGAGTCCGGCCCGCGGTCCGAGCCAGGCGAGGACTTCGAGATCGTGGAGCGCGGTCAGCTGCCGAGCCCGAGCGAGCTGCGGAGCGCGGCCAAGCCGCGGACGGCGGCGGCCGAGGGCTGGTCGGCGCCCATCCTGAGCCTGGCGCGCAAGGCCACCGGGAACCTGTCGGCGAGCTGCGGGCACGCGCTGCGCGCGGCCGCGGGACTGAGCGGCGCGGACGGCGGCGCGGATGGGGCGGCGCGCGCAGGTAGGGGGCGTGGGACAGCGCGGGCGCCGGGAGTCCTGTGGCGGGACCCGGGAGTGCGGGAGTCCTGAGGGGGAGACCCCGGGAGTGCCGGAGTCCTGAGGGGCGAGTCCTGAGGCGGGACCCGGGAGTGCGGGAGTCCTGAGGGGGAGACCCCGGGAGTGCCGGAGTCCTGAGGGGCGAGTCCTGAGGCGGGACCCGGGAGTGCGGGAGTCCTGAGGGGGGACCCGGGAGTGCGGGAGTCCTGAGGGGGTGCCCGGGAGTGCGGGAGTCCTGAGGGGGGACCCGGGAGTGCGGGAGTCCTGAGGGGGGACCCGGGAGTGCGGGAGTCCTGAGGCGGGACCCGGGAGTGCGGGAGTCCTGAGCGGGAGACCCGGGAGTGCGGGAGTCCTGAGGGGGAGACCCCGGGAGTGCGGGAGTCCTGAGGGGGGACCCGGGAGTGCGGGAGTCCTGAGACGGGACCCGGGAGTGCGGGAGTCCTGAGGGAGAGACCCGAGGAGTGCGGGAGTCCTGAGGGGGGACGCGGGAGTGCGGGAGTCCTGAGGGAGAGACCCGAGGAGTGCGGGAGTCCTGAGGGGGGACGCGGGAGTGCGGGAGTCCTGAGGGGCGAGTCCTGAGACGGGACCCTGGGAGTGCGGGAGTCCTGAGGGGCGAGTCCTGAGACGGGACCCCGGGAGTGCGGGAGTCCTGAGGGGGGACCCGGGGAGTGCGGGAGTCTTGAGGGGCAGGTCCTGAGGCGAGACCCGGGAGTGCGGGAGTCCTGAGGGGGTGTGCCCACTGACGCAGGGACTTCTCCAGGGCTGGCCTTTATCAGTGAGAATTGTGATACTGCAATTTCCACCAGCCTGTGGTGTTTGCATGAAGAGTTAGTTTGAAAACGGAAACTGCATGCATAGCTTATCTGTGAAGCTGGGACCTGCCAGCTGGAGCCTCAGCCAGCTGCAGATCGGAAATACAGTACTTGGAATTTTGTGTTGGGTCTTGGTAATTAGCCTAGCCTGGACAGACTTCTTCTTATTATTTTTTGCAACGATTTATTTTACTTACTTTTTATTTGAAAAGTATAGTTGCAGAGGAGAGACAGAAAGATATTCCATCTACTGGTTCACTCCCCAAGTGGATATGAGTAAGCTGATCCAAAGGCAGGAACCAGGAACTCCTTAATGGGTGCAGGGTCCCTAGCACTTGGCCCATCCTCCACTGCTTTCCCATGCCACAAGCTGGATCAGAAGTGGAGCAGTGGACACCCAAATGGATGGGATATGGGATGCCGGCTCTGCAGGTGGCGGCTTACGCTATTACACCGTCATAATTAACCCCTTTTATGAAGGGGGATAATTCAATCAAGTCAGCCTGCCGCTGAGGTCAAACTGGCAGTTCTAACACCTCCCTGCCTTTCCCCTTGGTAACTGTGTATAGAAAATATGTACCACATGGCTTTTTAAAATGAACCGATTTAAGGAAAGTGTTAAGTAGTAACTGCCACTTGAACTGGGAAAAACTTTGAGCATAGGGAGTGGGGTACTGCTCAGTCAGGACCCTGGCATCCCATATCAGCCCCACTTCCTATCCAGCTTCCTGTTAATGCTCTTGGGAAGGCTGGTGATGGACTCCTGGGCTCCCAGCTTCAGAAGCCATGAAGGCCCTGGCAGCCATCTAAGGAGTGAACCAGTGCAAGCAAGTTCTCTCTCTGCCTTTCAAATCAATAGAGCTTTTCCTGAAAGGCAGCAGGATTCCAAACCCCCGGGGGGGGGGGGAGCAGGGGCAGAGGTGGAGAGGAAGCTGGTGAGCGGGTCTGCTGACAGTGGCCACCACTTCTGCAGGGCTGGGGTGGGAGAGGTGCCAGCTCCTCCTCCTCCTGTCCCCTTGACCTGTGGAGGACAGGGGTGTCAAGATAGTATGTGAGCTGCATTACTTCAGTGTACGCGTTTTTGGTGATGGGAATTAAAGGGAAATATGGTGGATTGCTGTGATTCGCTTGGCAGATTAGTTTTAAAATGTCCCACATTGGATCTACTGCCATAGTGCTAGTCTGTAGTTTTTTTGTTTGTTTGTTTTAAGGTTATTAGGCTAATTGATTTAAAGAAAACATGCCGAAGCGCATTCAGCATACACTAAGTCCTCCTGGGCCTCCTCACTTACACTCTGTCTTCATGTCACCATGATATACACCTGAAGCATGACCTCTTGCTTTTCGTAACAGTCCCACCCAAAGGATGAGTAGAACATACATGCTCACAAGGAGGAATACGCCAAGCATTGGGTCTTAGTTGCATGTAGGTGCTCAGTAAAGAAGGTGTACTTTTTGAAATTGTTTAGGGCTGGCATTATTGTGTAGCATGTTAAGCATCTATCTGTGGTGCCAGCATCCCATATATTTGCTGCTCCATTTCCAATCCAGCTCCCTGCTAATGACCTGGGAAAGCAGCAGATGATGGCCCAAGTCCCTGGACTTCTGCACCCATGCGGAAAACCTGGAAGAAGTTCCTGGCTCCTGATTGGCCCAGTTCCAACTATTACAACCATTTGGGGAATGAACCAGTAGATGGAAGGTGTCTCTCTTTCTCTCTGTCTCTCCTCCTCTCTCTATCTCTGCCTTTCAAATAAAAATGAATCTTAAAAAAGAAATTGTACATATAAGTTTTTGTCATTAGGTGAGCGGATTATGCCTATTTCTGGTCTTTGCCAAAAATCAAAACAGCCCTGCAGTCCAGCACTGTGGTGCAGTGGACCACATGGGTGTAGATTCAGGTCCCAAGGCCTACACTTTTCATCTAGCTCCCTGGAAACGCAGTGGCAGATGGCGCAGACGCTCAGGTCCCTGTACCTACGTGGTTGACCCAGACAGTGTTCCAGGTTCCTGACTTTGGCCTAGCCTCGCTAACTGAGGAGTGATCACCAGATGGAAGATATCTCTCTTTCTCTCTGCATCAAGGGACCATGGCTACTATTTCCAGGATAGAGTACAACTTTTTCTCCTTATATTGCCAAACTCTGATTTAGCCAATGAGATGCTATGCAAATAATTACTAAAAATGAGGAAAGTAGAAAACCATTTTTCTATCAATTTAGTACAGGATAACACCCCTCTGTATAACATCATTCAAGCCACCAAAGGCCCATGGCAAACCACACATAGAAGAAGCCAGTCATTCTGTAACTCAGAACCCCTCTCCTCGTCCTAGTCACCCCAGAATGTCTCAAGCTCAGGCATATGCTTTCTGCTTCAGTCTTGGCAGTTCCTGTTGCAGTCCCGACCCCTCAGAGGGTCCAGGCAGACACTCCCGAGCAGCCTGATGAGCGACTCAGTTCATGTGGAACTTCACCAAATGGTTGTTAAGCAGGTTTGGAGATGTCAAGAGCTTAGCCAGAGTCACCAAGCCCATAAAGTTGAGAGAAAGGCTGAAAGTTTGTTCCTGCTGTAATTCTCTGAGACTAAATTGTGAGAGACAGAAGTGGGTACCTAAGCATGGGATGGTCTTGCTGGCAGTCACGGGGACAGTGGCTACTGGGACCACTGCCGCCCAGTAGTGACCGCCTACAGCTCACTGCTGCAGTTCTCTTCACAAGATCCCCTAGAAGCATCTCCAGTTCCTGAAGTTGATAAAAGATCCCCTGTCACAGCTTTGAAGCTGTTCAGAATACGTTTCCTATAAATTTGTAAATACCTTTTTAGAATAAAACTCTTCAATGATTCTTTAAACTGCATCAAGTGTTATACATTATAGTATTGATTTCATAAGCACCACTTTCATTCTTAAATATCAGGGGATAGTGTCATGGCCTAGTGGGTAAAATTGCTGCCTTTGTTGTTGGCATCCCATAAGGGCACCAGTTCATGTCCTAGTTGCCCCACTTCAAACCCAGCTTCCCACTGATATAGCTGGGAAAGCAACAGAAAGTGGCCAAGGCCTTGAGCCCTGGCACCGTTGTGGGAGACCTGAAAACAACTCCTGGCTCCTGGCTTTGGTTTGGACCAGCCCGTGTTGTTGAGGATGGAATATGTCTCTCTCTGTAACTCTTTCAAAATAAATCAATAAATAAATCTTTGCAAATCAATCTTTTTAGAAAATACCTATTAACTTTTGACAATTTTACATTTCCCTTTTATTCCCTGAATATGAATTTCCATTCCACTTTTGCCACAGAATCTCAAAAGGTTATTTTATTTATTGGAGAGACAAGGAGTGGGACAGAAAGATGTGCCTTCCATCCACTGGTTCACTCTCCAAAGGACCACACGACCAGGGAGGGACCAGGCCAAAGCCAGGAACCCATAACACCATCCTGGTTCCCACAGGTGTCAGGGACTTGGGCCACTTTCCCTGCCGTCCCAAGCCCAGGAAGCCAGAGGGAAAACAGAGCAGCCAGGCTTCCAACCCTACAACCACTGCCCCAATATGAGATGCTGGCATTGCACACAGTAGCTTCATCTGCCACCAGCCCCTGTTCACAAAATCTTATAGTTATAAAAACAAAGTGTTGTCTTATTAGCTCAGCAAAAGTGTATAAAAGTTAATGTTTTCTAAAAGAAACTTCTGTGAAAAATCTCTAAATATGTAAAATAAATAAATAAATAAATAATGTATTTGGAAGAAAAAGAGAGATCTTCAATCTACTGGTTCACTTCCCAAACGGTTCTAATTAGGCCAATCCAAAGCTGAGAGCCAGGAGCTTCTTCTGGGTCACATATGGATGCAGGAGTGCCAGTAGTTGGCCCATCTTCTGTTTTCCCAGGTAAGTTAACAGGGAGCTGGATTAGAAATGAAGCAGCCAGGCTTTGACCTATGCTCATATAGGATGCTGGCACTGCAGGTAACGGCGTTACGCACTATGCCACAGTGCCAGCCCCAGCATTTTTCTTCTTGAATGAGTTATCTTTGAAGCTATTAGTGATATTACATCAATGAAAGGAACATTAATACAATGGTTATCATTATTATGATCCATAAAATCTCTTAAATGTTGGGGTTTTTATTGTTTTAAGGATTGATTGATTGATTTGAAAGGCAGAGTTACCAATAGAGATAGAGATTTTCCATCTGCTGGTCTACTCTAGATGAATGCAATGACCTGAGTTATATTAAATTTTCCATTTAATATTGTCAGGTCAGAACTGACCTCAGGTATCTAAAACTGCAACAAGGGAAGTTGTGGGAAGGGAAGGGGAGCTACGGTAAAGATATATGTGATTATTTTCAATCCTAATAAGCATCTTTTTAAAGATTTATTTATTTTTATTGGAAAGGCAGATTGACAGAGAGAAAGACCTTCCATTAGCTGGCTCACTCCGCAAGTGACTGCAACTGCCAGAGCTAAGCCAATCCAAAGCCAGGAACCAGGAGCTTCTTCTGGGTTTCCCACGAGAGTACAGGGTCCCAAGGCTTTGAGCTTTCCTACTGCTTTCCTAGGCCACAGGTATAAAGATGGAAGGGAAGTGGGTTAACCAGCACGCATATGGGATCCGTATGCATGAAAGTGAAGGACTGGCCAACCAAACCATTGTGTAACTGGCAACAGGTTTCTGTGGCACTTTACTGCTCCACAGGGGAAAGTCACTTCCTAATGTGCATGGTCTCTGGACGCTGTGACCCAGGGGCAAAAGCAACAGAGAAGGAGGGATGCATGCTGGCTAGAGACCAACCCGCAGCTGCTCCTCTCCTCTGCCCCACCGAGATCTCATTCAATACATATGTGCTACACTTCTATCTTGCCAACAGGTTCTTTCCTTCCCTCCCAAACCTCATCCTCCTTGTTTTCATTTAGTGCCACAGACATGTACCACACTTTACCTAACTCTAGGAGATAATGAAATACAGGAAAGCTGGGATGTGGATGTTTAACCCAGCAGGGTTGGAGTCCTGACTCCACTTGCTCTTCTCGTTTCCTCCTGAAAGACGGCAGGTGCTGGCTGCAAGGACTCGGGGCCCTGTCACTCTCACGGCAGACGCGGACTAGAGGTCCCCCACTCCTGGCTTTGGCCTGTCTCAGCCCTGGCGAGTGAACTAGCCCGATCTCAAAAAGACTTTAATTTTTTTTAAACAAAAAAAATTTTTTTTTTAAATTTCTGTAGTAATTAAACGGCTGCCAACAAAAACCATTCGAATGAGCCTTAACACTCACTGGCTCTAGAGGCTGACCTCTGAGGTTTGAATTTGTAAATTCCATTATCCTATTTCCTGGCAAGCGATTATCACAGATTCCGCATCCTGACTGCAGACAGACTTTTAGTATGCAAACAAAGCGACCAGGAAGTGTAGACGGGGTCGTCTGACTCTAACAGCTTTACAAGAATGCACTTTGAAAGTGGACGAAAAAGTCGGTCGTAGGAATTAGCCTCTGAAACAGAGTGAGGAAGCTTTTCTGAAGGGCCAGGGGCTGGCATAGTCAGAGGGGAAAAAAAAAAAAAAAAAAAAAAAAAAACAGGCTCGGAACGCCTCGGGAGGGTGAGAATGTAAAATGGCGCCTGTGAGCCCATGGGCGTGGCCTTGGGCTGTTCCCGTCCAATAGGAAGGCTCGGGGTGGGACGCGTTTCTAGGGCCGGGGGCAGGACTTCCTGGAACCCCCGCCCCTCCATTGGCTGGAACTGGAATACTGGCTGTGTGAAGGACCAGTCGCTGTGACGCTTGGTAGAGCCGTCGCTTAGCAACGCGGGTAGCTGGCTGGGGAGGCCTGGAATCCAAGGCTGGTGCATCTCTGACCCAGATCCAGAGCGTCGCAGGTGTGTCCTGGCCTTCGTGGATCGGGCGCCGGCTGACTGAACGCCGTGAACGCCGGTTACTCTCCCGCCCGCACTTCCGCGCCGTGAGCAAGCTGCCTGGCCTGTCTTCCCTGCTTCACCCTGTTCGCCGCTGCTCTGGGTTGCTGACGAAGCTGTCCTTGCTTCTGCTGCGCAGCTTCCAAGGGCCAGATGATGGAGGAGCGAGCCAACCTGATGCACATGATGAAACTTAGCGTGAAGGTCTTGCTGCAGTCCGCGCTGAGCTTGGGCCGGAGCCTGGACGCCGACCATGCCCCGCTGCAGCAGTTCTTCGTGGTGATGGAGCACTGCCTCAAACACGGGCTGAAAGGTGCGCCGGGAAGGGTGGGGGGCGGCGAAGCGGCGCCCCGCGGAAGTCAGACATTGCTCCGGCCTCCAGACGTGGGCCTAGGGCCCCGCTGTCAGTAGAAACGCTTAGACCTCATCCTAGTAGCCCCGGTTTGAAAGAAAGGTCAAAAGGACACGGGTGACAATGTTTAGTCTTTTTTTTTTTGGCCTGGTAATCAGTAGTTACAAGCCTCACTGATGAGATTCCTTATCTAAGCCTTAAAGATGCACTCTTGGAACACAGCTCTTGAATTGAGGTGTGCAAGTTGCAAACCCTCAGTGGCACGTGGGCTGCTGGTCGGGCACGGATAACACAGTCCTAGTACAAGACAGGTGATGAACACAGAAACGCCGAATCCCAAAGCACTGCCCATTGGAGCCATTCAAAGGGGCGGAGCAAGGGCAGACAGGTGCAGAGGTCCCCAGGAGGCCCCTGCAGGTAACAGCAGGAGCGGGGTGCAAGGGACGTGGAGGTGAGCTCCTGGAGGCCTGTAAGGTCACACTCAGCGTATTTGAAGGACTTTCGCTGAGGGAGAAATGTGACCCAGCTTTGATTTTTAGAAGACTGTCCAGCTGTGTTAAGAACAGATTGTGAGTGTGGAAGAGACCAACAAGTTAGTGCAGCAGAGCATGTGAGATGATGACTTGAAGAAGTCAGTGTCGCCTTTGGCATCAGAATGGGCATGGGTAGGAAGGTGCCTGGGGAGGAGCCTGTTCATTCCTTCCGCGGTAGCTGCTTGGAGATGGAGCATTATGGGCGGGAGGAGAGAGAGCTGGCTACCTGCTGGACCCTGCCTGGTCCGCCATCGTGGGACTCAAGTTTTCACTGGCTTCTGGGAGAGAGACCTTTTGCAGTCTGTTCTCATGAATAACACTTTTGTTTTCCCTTTTAGTTAAGAAGAGTTTTATTGGCCAAAATAAATCTTTCTTTGGTCCTTTGGAGCTGGTGGAGAAGCTCTGTCCAGAAGCATCAGAGATAGCTACTAGTGTCAGAAATCTGCCAGAATTAAAGTGAGTGGGAAGCAGTTACATTGATTTCTCAACTTCTTACTAACACATCTCTTTCTCATTTGGAGCAGCCTGTAGCCTGAACCGCCCTCAGGTTTGAGTGTCCGCTCTCTGGCTTCCTCTTCGCTGGCCTTGAGCCACCTTTGCCCTTGGGAGCCCAAGCTGTCTCCTGTGTGAAACAGGGGCAGGCTCCCTGCTTGGCATGCAGGTCAGACACACTGAGCAGGCGTTAGCCACAGAGAGGGAGTCCTTGGCACACTTCTGCTTCATGCACAGCCTCCTGAGGCTCTGAAAAATTGGGTTTGGGAGAGATCTTAGGTTCCAGGACAAGGGGCACTTTATGAAAAGAATGGGCCCTGAAAATCATTTTCCCCATGTGGATTTGCTTGTAGAACTTCAGATAAGAAACTGGGCAGGATACCAATAAGGTGCCATCATAGAATCTGACACTCAGAAGGGCCAGAGCTGATTCACGCAATCCTGTGCAGAGTCCTCTAGCCAGGAGCTGACTCTTATTCAGCACGTTCGTTGGAGCTTGCTTCATCTGTTTTCAGATGAGAACCACAGGCACAACCCTGGGGACCAGCTGGAGGACAAGGCTTGTCTTCCCTCATTAGTGCTCCACCACCCGGGTGTCTGTTGGAATGCCCATAGTCCCTTAGCAAGTGAGAGATGGTGCTGAGAGGAGAACCCAGATCTATTGAGCTCTGAAGCCCTCTACATCTCCCAAACTCCACTGCTGCTGAGCCCTGTGCATTCTTGAGATTGAATTCAAGCCTGCTGTTCCTGCATTTCCAGCCCTGTACCTCATCTGTGTAAGGCCCTCTATGTGTGCCTAACTCATGTATTAGCTGGACTCTTTTCATGAGGCTTCTACACCTTTTTGCTGACTTCTTCAGCTGTTCTCTGTGTGGTAGTCTCTCCTATCCACCCTGACCAGCCCACTCCCCAAGAGCCCAGCATCCAGGTGGCGCAACCTGGGTTTCCAGATTTGAATAGATGCAGCCTCATTAGTGTGTGTGTACATGAACGGTCTTAAAGTTTTTGCTGTGCTAACTCCGGGCTCCCTGTGACCTCTGCACCACTTCTGTTTTCCCATTCATCCCAAAGGTACTAAAGAAGTGACAGGCTTAAGTATCAGAAATCCTCACCCTGTCACCAAAAGGGAAATGCAAGGTTGTTCCCCCCCTTGATGCCTGTCAGAAGTAGCTCTGGGGAGCCATGTGGGAAAGAACCACTTTGCTTCATCAAGAGCTGCCATGTTTACACAGTTTCATTCAATCCTAACTCAAGTTCTGAAGTGCCTGGGCACTGTGAAGTTGAGACTGGGTTTTTTTGTGGATGAGGAGGGGGGAGGATGGTCTAGTCCGAGGTATTGTGAAATGTGCGAAATGAATTCTGCATTCTGAGAGTACTCTCTATGGAGTTTTAATTATCTCACCTAATGGAGAAAAAAAAAACTTTGATAGCACAGCCTGTCACTCTGAATTTTTCCAATTTCATACCTTGATTTAATTATTGGATAAATAATTAAATACCTTGATTTAACTACATGATAAATGCCCACTTCAAAAATATTGGCATTGACAAGACTTTTTTTTTTTTTTTTTTTTTTTTTACGAGAAGTAAGTAACCTTTCTAATTGCCTAGTTGTAATCAGACTGATCAAGAAGATCACATTTTCATTTTGTCCCACACTGCGCATTAGATTGCAGCTGTTTTCCTCAGGGCAGCTTGGGCCCATTCAACAAAATCACAGGCATGTCCACTCCTTGAACCAGCAAGGTCACTTCTAGGTAATTTGTCACACAGTTGTTTTTGTTTTTGTTTTGGAAAGTCAAATATACAGAGAGGAGGAGAGACAGGGAGGAAGATCTTCTATCCGATGATTCACTCCCCAAGTAGCCGCAGTGGCTGGAACTGAGAGCCAATCAGAAGCCAGGAACCCAGAGCCTCTTCCAGGTCTCCCACACAGGTGCAGGGTCCCAAGGTTTTGGGCAGTCCTTGACTGCTTTCCCAGATCACAAGCAGGAAGCTGGATGGAAAGCAGGACCACTGGGACAAGAACTGGTACCTATATGGGATCCTGGCACAGTCAAGGCAAGAATTTTAGCTGTGAGGCTATTGCACCAGGCCCCCTGGAAAAATTTTTATAGTGACAGATACTATATGAAAGGAGCAAGTTGTAGAAGTCCATTGTACAATGTTATTTTTGTTGTAAAGAGAAGAACAAAAATAAGACTTCGTGTTAATATTTGCTTTCATATGTATAAAAATGTTTTGGAAATGACCCTAAACTAAGAATGCTATTAATAATTGGGGAGCAAAGAGAGGAGAGTATGGGGAGTTCTGAGTGTGTGCCTTCTTACACTTTGTGGTTCTTAAACTGAGTGAAGGCATTTCCTCTTTGTACAGGATGTAATTAACTCTTTATTCTATTTTATAACCTTTTTCCACTTAATTTAAGATTTCAAGTCTCTTCACTTGTCAAATATTGATCCAAAATATTGGGTTTGGTTTTAGTTTCTCTTCACAATATCGTTTTTTATAGATGGAAGCAGCCCTTGGTGGTAGAGCATTTGTTTACACTCGCTGCTGGCTTTGTGATTGTCTTCAGCTTCTCACAGTCACCAGCAGTGCCCTCGAGGGTACAGGTGTGTCCCTGTATCCAGACTTGGCTGCTGGCTTAGACTGTAGCAGTGCATGTGGAATTGTCATCACCCAAGCTTTGTCAGGCTGCCCTCTGCCACCTCAACAGCCCAGGCCAGGCTCATGTCTCACACCCTGCTAACGTTACAATCCTCTTTCTCCTCCTTCTTGCTTCCCTCTCTTTTTAATTCTGCCTTAACATCACTTACTTTGAGGGGAAAGTGTATCCCATCGTCTTTGTTATTGTTGATATTAGATGGAGCCTTGGAGCCTGCCTTCTGCAGTTAACCTGGGTGTCTTCTGACCCTGAGGGGTGTAAATTTGGGGTGGACAACGGCTTATAGCATTAACTGCCTTCTTGGCTGTTAGAAATGCAATCCCTCAGCTTAGAGCAGAACCTTTTCTTTCTTCAACAGCTTTAGCTTTAAAATTGGGAGACTTGTTCCCCTTCCTTTTCGTAATCCATGCAAGCCTCTGGCTCCTGCAGCAGAGCAAATGTACTTCACACTTCTGACCTGTACCCTCGAGGTAGTGAATGTTACTGTGTGTATGTTTACCACAATTTAACGTTACACCAAAAAAAAAAAAAATCACACATTTGAATTAATGCATTGAAATCTTAAGAGATATCAGTACTTTAACAGATACTACATTTTGTTCGTCTTTTGAACAAATGTTTACCTACTGTAAAAATCTAACCTGACACATATTTTTCATGACCTTTTTTTCAAAAGCCCTTATGTGCATATGTTTCAAATCATTTTTGCACCAAAAATAATGCCCTAATTCTGTTTCCCACAAGCTGTTGAAGCACCAGAGGAGTGCCCACCGACAGGGCAGCGCAACCCCTCTGTGCCCCCGGAGCTGCTGTTTCATCCTGCCTTCTGTGCTCACAGTGTGGGGGGACATGTGTACCTCACCGATCAACGGGTTTTTCTGTGTCTGTTGTTTCTGTTATGCCACTGCAGCCTAATTCTCTGTTTGAATTCTAGGACGGCTGTGGGGAGAGGCAGAGCTTGGCTTTATCTTGCACTCATGCAAAAGAAACTGGCAGATTATCTGAAAGTTCTCATAGACAATAAACACCTCCTGAGGTACTTCATATCCTATTTCTCTTTATTTTTTGTTTTGTGAACAATTAGAATATAGTTCTCTACATCATTTTGAATTCAAAGTGTATAACACTCACAGTTATTATTTGGGTATTTTTATTTACTAGAAAGGCAGGGAGTGAGACCTTCCACCTGCTGGTTCATTCCTGACATGCTAGCCACAGCCAGGGCCGGGCCAGGTTAAAGCCTGCAGCCTGGAACTCTGTCGGCCTCTTCCATGTGGATGCCAGGTACCCCGGTCCCTGAGCCATCACTGCTGTCCCCAGCGTGTACCTCCACAGGACTGAGAGCCAGGCTGCAGAGCGTGGGAGGTAGACAGCCCCGTAGCATCTTAACAACCACACCAAATGCATGTGCTCAAATTACTATTACGTATTCATTGGCTTAGTTTTAATTTTTTTACAATTTATTTATTTTTATTGGAAAGTCAGATATACAGAGAGGAGGAGAGACAGAGAGGAAGATCTTCTGTTCACTGCTCCACTCCCCAAGTGGCCGCAATGGCTGATGCTGAGCTGATCCAAAGCCAGGAGCCAGGAGCCTCTTCTGTGTCTCCCAAGTGGATGCAGGGTCCCAAGGCTTTGGGTCGTCCTCAACTGCTTTCCCAGGCCACAAGCAGGGAGCTGGATGGGAAGTGGGCCACTGGGACTAGAATCGATGTCCATATGGGATCCCGGCGCATGTAAGGTGAGGACTTTAGCTGCTAGTCTTACCACGCTGGGCACTCAATGGCTTAGTTTTAAAATAGCAATATTTTATTTTTTGATAACTGAAATCTAAAAATCATTTGGAAGGTTCATGAAACTTTTTATTTTGAAAAGTTTTTAAAATTGTCAGTGTCTAGAATTAGATCAGTGACAGTATACTTTTCATTAGGTTTTCATGATTGGATGGTAATGAGAAAAATTACTTTAGAACTAGGAGAAATGAGCGATTTCTTTTTAAAGTTAGGATTTATCTTATTTACTTGAAAGGCAAAGTTTCAGGGAGAAAGGGAGAGACAGAGATGTGCTGGCTCACACTGCAGATAGCCCCCACATGGTCACGTCAGGGCCAGGCTGAGTCTTGGTCTCCCGACTAGGAGGTGTGGGCCCAAGCTCTTGGGTTCACATTAGCATTAGCTGGAAGCCGATGGGAAATGGAGCATCTGGCACTCAAACCTGTGCCAGTACGGGGTGCAGACAGTGCTGTGGACAGTGTGGCCCCAGTGAATAATCTAAAAATATAAACACCCTCTTTTTATAATACAACCTTTGTATGTTATCTGTTTTCGGATTCCATATACAGTTTAAAAAATGTTATATGTCTTTTAGAAAATATAAACTAGCTGTAGCTGAAATTTCATGACTGGTTTGGTTTTTGATATTTCAAACTCCAAAACCAACTGATCATTATAGAAGGAATTTTCCTAGACAGTGATCTCCCTGGAGTCAGTTCTCGTGTCTATTTCAGATAACATTACAGCTCAGCCCAAAAGGCTAGCCTGCTAGGGTTTTCAGGTCATGGCTGGTCACAGAACGTATCTTTAGGTGAAAAATAGTGATTTCCAATATTTCATATGCTTTGTACTCTGAGTACAGCCACGCTGAGTAACTTTGCCAGGCAGACTTTGTTCTCACGAACTGATTATAACCACCCTCCACAACACGCCCCCCCCCCCGGGCCTGGGGGCTACTGGATTTGATAAACTAGCTAATCACTGGAGACCAGAAGCAGGGGGGGGCGGGATCGAGGAGCAAGGCTGCCGGTGGCTGTGAGGACTGGGAGGTGAGGATATAAAAGCAGACGTCACCCAGTGGGATACAGGGAGGAGGGAGGAGTCTGTCCTAGGGCCTGAAAACCAAGGGAATACTGTTTGCTGTTTATGTAGGTGTAGATGTAGTTCATAGCAACGTGGAGGGGGAGACTGGACAAGCAGGTGATGATCAGCTCAGTGGCCAAGAGATAGTGCCGAAGTCCGGATCCCAGCCTAGACAGGAAGAGCAGAGGGCTGCTGAGAGCCACAGGGAGAGAGTGGGCTGCTGGGAGTGGCAGAGGAGATGAAAGGAAGAGGGATTCCCTGGCTCTCTGTGTGAGAACTGGTGCATGGGGGCAGCTTGTGTAAGGCGGTGGTGAAGGGGACTCTGAGCAGCTCCTGGCTTTCCTCTGCTTTAGTGAGTTCTATGAGCCTGAGGCACTGATGATGGAGGAAGAAGGCACGGTGATTGTCGGCCTGCTGGTCGGACTCAATGTTCTTGATGCCAATCTCTGCTTGAAAGGCGAAGACCTGGACTCTCAGGTAAAGCTGTATTCTGATGCTGGTTGCAGTTTTATGTTAATTACAGGCAGGTACCAAGAGAGGAAGAGACAAGGGCAGACAGCGCTTGACCAGAGGGCTGGGCAAGGGTGTTGTGTAGGGGCTGGGAAGGACCCGGCCAGGGTGAAGAAAGCATGTGGACAGGCCACTCACAGGGGCAAGAGTTGCCTGGTCCAAACGGAACGCAAGGTGAGTGAGCTGAAGGTTGAGACAGGGCACTGTTGGCAGGCAGCCCTTGAGCCTGGGAAATGCTGATGGAGGTTTTTAAGGTTTTGTTGGCAGTGATACTATGGCTGAGCCGCTGCCACGTGGACTGAGGAGCCCAAGTCTCCCTAATCTCTGGGCCCTAGTCAACTATTCTTCACTAACTTCTCTTTTCTTTTTCTTTAGTTAACTTCTCTTTTCATAAATAGCTTTGTTATTTTTCCATGTTGGAAATTTTCAAACACAAAGCAGTATTTTTAAAAAATTTATTGGACCTGGCATGAGCGTAGCAGTTAAGGTCCTCACCTTGAACACACCAGGATCCCATATGGGCACCAGTTCTAATCCTGGCAGCCCAGCTTCCCATCCAGCTCCCTGTCTGTGGCCTGGGAATGCAATTGAGGACAGCCCAAGAGTTTGGGACTTTACACCCACGTGGGAGACCTGGAGGAGTCTCCTGGCTTCAGATCGGCTCAGTACCAGCCGTTGCAGCCATTTGGGGAGTGAACCAGGGGATGGAAGATTTTCCTGTCTTTCCTCCTCTCTGTATATCTGACTTCCTGAATGGAAGATGGGGCTGCCGGGATTAGAACCAACGCCCGTGTGGGATCCCGGCACATGCAAGGTGAGGACATTAGCCGCCAGGCTACTGTGCCAGGCCCAGAAAACAGCATTTTTGGGAAGAAACTCCATACCATCTGTTACCCCTTTAGGCAGCTCGATCACATGTCCTTCCTGTACAGGAATAAAGGCATCTGTATAGGTGCACCTGCTTATGTATTTCAGAGTGAGAAACACAGGCATCTGTGTTTGTATGTTTCAGAGTGAGATAACTGCAGTTTCTGTGTTATAGTTATGCCAAGTGCAGCTTTTTGCAAATGTTTTAAAAAATGTTTTTAAAGATTTATTTATTTTTATTAGAAAGGCAGATATACAGAAGGGAGGAGAGACAGAGAGGAAGGTCTTTCTTCTGATGGTTAACTCCCAAAATGGCCGCAATGGCTGGAGCTGAGCCAATCTGAAGCCAGGAGCTAGGAGCTTCTGGGTCTCCCGTGTGGGTGCAGGTCCCAAGGTTTTGGGCTGTTCTCGACTGCTTTTCCAGGCCACAGGCAGGGAGCTGGATGGGAAGCTGGGCTGCCGGGATTAGAACTGGTGCCCATATGTAATCCTGGTGCATTCAAGCTAAGGACTTTAACCACTATGTTAATGTGCCGGGCCCTGCAATTTTTTTTTTAAAACAATAGACTCCATAACAGAGATGTGCCTCACTTAAATAGCTACAGAAAGTCTTTTTATTTTATTTTATTTTCAAGATTTATTTATTTTTATTTGAAAGTTGGGTATACAGAGAAGAGGAGAGAGAGGGGAAGATCTTCTGTCCATTGATTCACTCCCCAAGTAACTGCAACAGCCAAAACTGAGCTGATCCAAAGCTAGGAACCAGGTCTCCTATGTGGGTCCAAGGTCCAAGGCTTTGAGCCATCCTCTACTGCTGTCCCAAGCTGGGAGTTGAATGGAAAGTGGGGATGCCCATACGGGATCCCAGGGCATTCAAGATGAGGACTTTACCTGCTAGGCTACCGTGCCAAGCCCAAAATGTCCATTTTTAATGTACCAATTTAACCAATGCTTCATTCATTTAGGTTATAAACATCCTTTTGTGTCTTTCTCCCCTTGTTTTAAAGCCTTTTAAGTGTTTTTAAAGATTTAGTTTTATTTGAAAGGCAGAGAGCTACAGAGCAAGAAGGAGAGACAGAAAGGTGTCTTCCATCTTCTGATTCATTTTGTGTTACAATATTTTGTTGTGGTTTCTTAAAATCCTGTTTTTCTCATAATATTATATATGTTAAATATTAGTCATGATGTGTCAAACAAGCCGCAGGTGGGTCTTAAATCTGTCATCATGGATTCTGGACTGTGGCCCAGCTCCCGTTGGAGCACTGATCCAGGCCTTCATTGCTCTGGTTCTGATCCAGCTGCTTGCTGACATTCTGGGACAGCAGCAGACCCTGACTCACATGCTTGTTGAACCAGATGGGAACTCCTGGCCCTGGCCCTGGCCTGGCTTCTGGCCTGGCCCAGCCCCGTCTGTTGCAGCCATTGAGGGGAGTAAATCAGAGAATGGAACAGCAATCTCTCTTTCAAATAAATGAAACAAATCTCTGTTTAAAATTTTCATTTATTATTTCTTTTTATTTTTTTGAAATGCATAGTTAGAAAGAAGGCAAGACACACATAGAGATTGGTTCACTCTCCAAATGGACTCAGCAGCTCAGACGGGCCAGGCCACAGCCAGGAGCTTTATCTGGGACTGCACCTGGGAACAGGGATGCAAGGACTTGGCCCTTTTTCTTCTGCTTTCCCAGGCACATCAGCATAGAACTAGTTAGGAAATGTAATAGCCAGGGCTTGAGCTGGCACCCATATGGGATGCCATCATAGCAGGCAGCAGCTTAACTCGTACCACAACACTGGCCCCATAAAATCTCTTTTAAAAACTGTCACACATACTTTGTGGGGTTTTTATTATTATTATTTTATTTATTTTTTGAAAGACAAGAGTAATAGAGAGAAAGAAGGAAGAAATCTTCCATCCACTGGTTTACTCCCTAAATAGTCACAATGGCCAGAGCAGAGCTGATCCAAAGATAGGAACCAGGAATTTCTTCTAGATTTCCCATGTTGGTACAGGGACCCAAGGATCTGAGACATCCTCTGCTGCTTTCCCAGGCCATAAGCAGGAAGCTGCATCCGAGTGGAGCATCTGGGGCTCAAACTGGAACCTAAATGGATTGATCATGCTACAGGTGGAAGCTTAGGTTACTACACCATGACACCAGCCCCATAGTTTTGAATTACTGTAATGAAGTTAATGCTATATATATTATTCTTTAAAAAAATTAAGATTGGGGCCTGGCATGATAACTCAGTTGCTAAATACTTGCCTTGCATGCCTGGCAACCCGTATGGGCACTGATTTATGTCCCGGCTGCCCCACTTCCCATCCTGCTCTGTGCAAAATCACCCCTGGGTCTGTGCCTGCTGCCTAGTGCATGTGACCTAGAGCTTATCTGCCGTGAGGCGCCACTTCCCTGTATAGGGAACGCGACTTCTGACATGATTGAAAGGTCAGCAGAGTTAGGCGTGCTTTTAGCCAAACACATGCCACTATTGGACCAGGGAACTACCTGAAAACACCCTCCTATTCTGGCGATTCTTACCATTGCCTCACCCTCGATGACCTTAGGGCATGCTGGCAGGGCATATGCCCCAAGACCGCTCCCTGCTTGTGGTTTGGGAAAGCAGTGAGAAAGGCTCAAAGCCTTGGGACCCTGCACCCACGTTTGAGACCCAGAAATTCCTGGCTCCTGGCTTCAGATCAACTCAGCTCCAGTCGTTGCAGTCATTTGGGGAGTGAACCAGCGATGGAAGATCTTTCTCTCTGTATCTCCTTTCTCTGTATATCCAAGTTTCCAATAAAATTAAAGTAAGTCAATAAATAAATAATTTAAGGCTGATTTGTTTGAAAGGCAGAGTTAGAGAGAAAGAGAGAAATCTTTTATCCCTACTGCTCTCTCAGGAATATTAGCAGGGAATTGGATTGAAGTGGGTAATTGGAACTCCAGCCAGTGCCCAGGCATCACAGGCAGCCACTTACCTACTATGCCACAGCACCCACCTCTGACTTCAGATTTGTAATGTGATTTTGTCTGTCTTATTTCTGGTAGGTTGGAGTGATCGATTTTTCCATCTACCTCAAGGACGTGCAGGATCTTGATGGAAGCAAAGAGTAAGGGCTCTGGGCATGGTCAGCAGCTCTGGGCACTGACGGTCTGTGGCTCTGGGCTCTGGAAAGTCTCATGTTCACGTCCCTGAGTGCAGCTCCCTTCCTCCTGAATAGTAAAGGTGGTGCCATCTGCCACGCCCTGATCCCTTTGCTTAGGAGAGGCTGCCAGTCTGCAGCGTGGGGTGGGGGGTGTTTCCAAGGCCCTGCCACTGCAACCCCAGCAAGTCTTACTGTCTGTTTACACTGAGGTGTCTGCTGGTCTCCTGAAGATGCGGCTACTGGTGCTAAGAAGGTTGGGAAACAGTTACAGAGTATTGATTAGGAATTGAGAAAGTCCCCGTTTTTATGCTCTTTTTAAAGGCATGAAAGGATTACTGATGTCCTTGATCAAAAAAATTACGTGGAAGAACTGAACCGGCATTTAAGGTGAGACACGCTCCTCTGGGCTCAGGTTGCTCCAGCAATATGCTCTGTATCCTGTGCTTGCTCCATGGAATTTTCTGAGCTGCCATACATGTGTAATACTTTTTTTTTTCAAACCAAAAAAAGTTACTCAAGCTACATATGTACAGACAAGATGAATATAATATAATCTCTTCTTGATAAAACAGCTTTTGGAAATCTTTGGCTCTTTCTTTTTTCTCTTAAGATTTTTAGTCTACTAATTTGAAAGGGTAGAGTTACAGAGATAGAGGGAGAGAAAAAAAGATCATCCACATACTGGCTCATTTCCCACATGGTCGTGATGGCCAAGACTGGGCCAGGCTGAAGCCAGGAGCATCTTCTGTGGGTGCTGTGGGCCCGGTCATCTAGGTCATCTGCTGCTTTCCGGATACATTAGCAGGGAGCTGGATTGGAAGGGAGCAGCCAGGACTCAAACCAGCACCCACATGGCATACCAGCATTGCAGGTAGTAGATTTACACACTATGCCACAGCACTGCTCCACCCCCCCCCCTTGGTTCTTTGTTTTGTGCAGTTGGGCAGTATAGAAAGGTAAATCCATAAACCATCCATCTCCACTCGTACCTACCTTTGCTTCCAGATGAAGCCTCCCAGAGCTGTGGGGATGGCAGACACAGGCACTTTCGTCCTGATTCTTAAATTTTAGTTGAAGGCTGCTGTTGTGCTTCCTGAAGCATTAGTCTGAGTTGTTGATGGGGAGGGAGGGACCCCCAGCCCAGTGCTGTACAGGGGCAGCCTCCTGGGCCCCCCAAGCCAAGCAAACTGGGGAGAAAGTTGACTAGTTCTTGCCAGTGTGCTTAGAGGGTTCCTGCTGGCTAACTGAGTTGGCTGCTGTTGTGGGGGTTTCTCAGTTGGTTTCTAGTTTGTGAATTTCATAAGGAACAGATGTTGATTTTAACAAATGTCTTTAATATCATTAAGATAATCATTATTTCGATCCCTTTATCTGTCAACGTGGTATTTTTTTGTTGGTAATGGCCTTTGTGTGTGTTCTGAAAGAAAGAAAAAGATCTTCCATCTGCTTATTCACTACCTAAATGCCTGCAACAACCAGATTGGGCCAAGTTAAAGCCAAGAGGCCCGAATTCAACACAGGTCTCCCACACAGGTGGCAGAGACGCAGTGCTTACCCATGGCTGCTTCCCAGGATAAGGATTAGCAGGAAGTGAGGTCAGAAGCAGAGGAACCGTGACTTTAACCAGACCCTCTTAACTATGATGCAGGTATCCCACTTGGCTATACCAAATGCCCGCCCCTTTGGGATATGTCTTCTTGGTGAGGCTCACAGTTTTATTGATTTCACTATTCTTCAAATGTTGTTTTCCTTCTCTGCCATGCTGTCAGGATTGTGCAGTTTCACATAATGAATTTGTCTCACTTGACCTCATTTTTGTACTTGTGAAAAGCTTCAAGTTGCAGGCATTATCTTCTCCTTAAAATGTGTGACTTGGCACTGCCATTGTGTCATTAGCAGGTAGGCCTGCTGCCTCCAGTGCAGGCAATTTCTTACAGATGCTAGTTCAAGTCCTGGCTGCTCTGTCTCCAGGCCAGCTCCCAGCAAATGGCTTGGGAAAAGCAGATGACTTAAGTGTTTAGATCCCTGTCACCCACATGGGAGACCTGGAAGAAGCTCCTGGTCCCTGAGCTTCTTTTTTTTTTTTTTTTTAAGATTTATTATTATTTTTTTTTTATTGGAAAGTCATATATACAGAGGAGGAGAGAGGAAGATCCTCTGTCTATGGATTCATTCCCCAATTGGCTGCAATGGCTGGAGCTGCGCCAATCTCAAAGCAGGAGCCAGGAACCTCCTCCGGGCCTCCCACATGGGTGCAGGATCCCAAGGCTTTGGGCCATCCTTGACTTCCCAGGCCACAAACAGAAAGCTGGATGGGAAGCAAAGCTGCCAACATTAGAATCAGCGCCCATATGGGCTGACAGCGCATGTAAGGTGAGGACTTCAGCCACTAGGCTACTGCGCTGGGCCCTAAAGATTTATTTATTTTTCATTACAAAGTCAGATATACAGAGGAGAGATAGAGAGGAAGATCTTCCGTCCGATGATTCACTCCCAAAGTGAGCCGCAATGGCCGGTGCTGCGCCGATCCAAAGCCAGGAACCAGGAACCTCTTCCAGGTCTCCCACACGGGTGCAGGGTCCGAAGGTTTTGGGCCGTCCTCCACTGCTTTCCCAGGCCACAAGCAGGGAGCTGGATGGGAAGTGGAACTGCCGGGATTAGAACCTGTGCCCATATGGGATCCCGGTGCATTCAAGGAGAGGACTTTAGCCACTAGGCCACGCCGTGGGGCCCAAGATTGATTTATTTTTATTGAGAATGCAGATTTACAGAGATGAAATGAAGATTCTCCATCTCCTCATTCACTCCCCACATGGCCACAACAGCTGGAGCTGAGCCAATCTGAAGTCAGGATCCAGGAGCTTCTTCTGGGTCTTCCACACAGATGCAGAGTCCCAGGGCTTTGGGCCATCTACTTCTTCTTTCCCTGGCCACAGGTGGGGAACTTGAAGGAAAGTGGAACAGCTGGGGCACAAACTGACATTCATATGGGATGCCAGAGCTTAGAGGTGGAGGATTAGCCAATTGAGCCCACTTGCCCAGCCCCCTGGTTGCTGGTTTTTGCCTTGACCCAGACCTAACCATTTGGACCACCTTGGGAGTGAGCTAGCAGATTGAAGATTTCTGTGTTCTTTCCCTGTCTCGAACTCTGACTTCCAAATAAATTAATTAAAAATTAATTAATTTTTGTTTTTATTTTTCAGTGAAGCTATAAGCCTTAATGAGGCAATGTGTTGCCAACTTTTTGGTTGTTCAGTTGTTTGTCTAAGGTTTTCTCCCCTTGACATGTGGTTTTTTTTTCAACATTTAATTTATATTGTCTAAGAAAACTTTAATTTTTTTAGTTATATACATAATACAACTTTCTCTAAAATTTGCCTTTCAAAAAAAGTTAAAAAAAAAAAAAAAAGCAGACCAGGAGTCTGTTTCACCATTGACAGGCTGGGAAAGCCATCAGCTTTTGAAAGCTGTCTTGACCCAAAATTTGTGTTCCACAGCTGCACAGTTGGGGATCTTCAAGCAAAAATCGATGGCTTAGAAAAGACGAACTCAAAGCTTCAAGAAGAGGTATGTAGCTTTCTGAAATTCTGTAACAGCACAGAATGGGCCAAGGTTAAAGTTAATGGCACAGATGATCTGTGTGACCAGCACATCCTTGGAGCTACCAACGGTGCATTGAGCTGCCTGTAGGACCAGCATCCTGGGAGCATCCGTGCCACCCCTGGGAGACGGCTCCCGGGGAGACAGCTGCTCACAAGCCAGTTCTCCAAGGCTTACGTTTTATCGCCAGAAAGTAATCCAACTCTTTGGAAAAGCCTACCTTCTGTTGAGCAAGTGCTGTCTCTTCCTCTTTGCCACCTTTCTGTGCCCATGTGCACCCCCGCTGCCCAGGGGCCAAAGGCTGTGCCTTAGGTACTGGCTCCCTTGCTTACCCTTGTCTTGTGTCCTCAGCAGCATTGAGCCAGTCTCCCTATGGTGTGGTCTTTTTCTGCTTTCTCACTAGGAAAGAGAGAATGAAAGGACAGGAAGAAGGAGGGCTGATGTCAAGGAAGAAAGCTTGCTGTCCGCTGCCCGGCATTCTCCCCAGTGGACACATCTTTGTCTCCTGTTAGCAGGAGTTGGGGGGTTGCTCGGTTTCACTGCGGCATCCCACAGGTAGAGGTCCCTGGCTTTTGGGCCTACCCACCTGGCCACCTAATCTCTTTGGGAAAGAAGGGGCCTGCGGAGAAGTCTTCAGAGTGAACATCCTCTCCCAGCCAGAGTGCAAACAGATGGCAGCTGGAGGGAGGCTCAGGGCAGGCCAGCATGGACAAGTGCCCCACTTGAGACCCCTTGAAGCGGGAGCTGTGTGAGTGAAGGCAGCCAACATGTGTAGCCAGGAATTCCTGAGGGGAGCATCGCGGAGCTAGCCACACTTCACATCTGCACGTTGGGTAATAGTGCACACTTTACAGTATTGTGGTCAAGATAGAGTCAGCTTACTGCATTAACATGCCTCTTAGCACCCTTAGCAGGTGGGACACTCATGGATGGGATGGCTTAGGATAAACAGGCTCACTGTGTTCTCTCAAAGTAGCGCCTATGACCAGGAGGGACCTTTTGTTTCTGAAATTAAGCAACGGAGCTGTTCTTTTTGAAGGCTGGTAAGCATAACAAGATGTGCCTTGGAGAAGCTGTAATCCCTCCAGGGCTTGCCCTCTGCATCTGCGGAGACCAGCCAGGGAACCAGCCCCCTCTGGCTGTACACTGTTTTTGTGAGTTAGCAACACCAGGCCTGGGCCATAGGTCTGAGTAGAGAATAATCCTGGGAATGTAGACACTGTTGGCCAAGAGGAGGTGGGGAGCTCAGTGCCTTTGGGTCCTTGTGCTGGTGGCGGATCCTGAGAGCGCAGCCTGCTGCCAGGATTCCTGGTCTTGCTTACAGATCCTTCTCTAGCTCCTCTTCTCCACAGGCTCTATTCCTGAACTGGAATAGAGAGGGTGGCTGGAGTAGCCTCCCTCACCTCAGGCTAGGTGGGGAAAGCTTCCCATGTCCCCGAACCACAGTAACTCATTCAAGGAAGTTCCTCTAGAGCGAGTCTTCAATGGTTTTTTATCTCCCACTCCCCAGTTTCCATTCTCAGTAATAAAATGTCAGAAAAAGGCTCATAGTTCCGAGCTGAGCTCTGCTGCCTGACACCTGTGATTGTTTTTTGATGTGTTACACAGCCCCGTGTTTCTTAGGCCTCTTAGGCCTGGTCGATGTTTCTCATTCCCTGTAACCACCTTTGCTCCTTGTTGGCCTTGCCTCCTCAGTGTGTGCTCAAGGCATTGAAAGCTGTTGTTAAATATTTCAAAACTGCATATTTCTGTTTTGTGCTTCCATTGTAATTAACCCTTCTTCTACTAGTGGACATCGAACCATTTGTGATTCTGGGTGTATATAAATCATTGCCGATATTAAATGGCTCACAGTCATTTTTGCCAGAAGGAGAGGGTTCCTAGGTCTTTGGAATTTTGACCTGTATCTTACCCATTCAAAACAAGGAAATATCAGACATGTGAAAATGCATCATTTAATTAGCGCAGTAAGATGAATTTTGATGTTGAGAAATGTAAACATCTTCCTTAATCAGCTTTCAGCTGCAACTGACCGAATTTGTTCACTTGAAGAAGAACAGCAGCAATTAAGAGAACAAAATGAATTAATCCGGGAAAGAAGTGAGAAGAGTGTGGAGGTGAGAAGTTGCCCTTGGGTCAGGCATCCTGATTGTCAGATACGCTTGTTGCCTCTCTCGGGCTCAGCCGTCCTTGGGGTGACTGGTTCCTGGACCCCCATGGACACCAAAACTTCTTGACATGCATGCTCTGTGTCTGGAACTGCATGGGGTTGGCATGGAACCTGTGGTCATGTTCCTCTGTACTTTAAGTCATCTCTGGGGATGGACTTTTGGCCTGGCTATGAAGATGTCCACATCTCACACTGGACTACCGGGCTTTAATTTCTGGTTCTTAACAGTGATGGCTCAGTTGACTGAGCTTCTGCCACCCACATGAGACACCAGTATTGAGTTCCCAGCACCCCTGTTTGGCCCCAGCTGAGGCTGTTTCAAACATTTGAGGAATGAGCCATTGCTATCAAACAAGCAAAGAAAAAATGTTTTTAAATAGCCTGTAGATTACTTATAATACCATACACAATGGGAAAACTATGTAAATGGCTGTTAAATTGTATTATTCTGGGAATGACCCAAAAAAATGTGCATTCTCAGTACACAGGTTTTTTCCCCAAATATTTTCAGTCCACAGTTGATTGAATCCACAAATGTGACATCAGGAGACACAGCAGGCCAGCTATAGTTTAATGCTAACCTAGTCCTTACTGTGTGTGATGGTACCTTGCCCATGTCCCTCCTGTTCCCATTAAGTGAAGGCCTTTCCCACTATGAAAGGACTATTATTCTGTTTATTTGGGGTTTTTTTAAAGACTATTTTATTTGAAAGTCAGATTTACAAAGAGATGGAGAGACAGAAGAATCCTCCATCTGCTGGTTCGTTCCCCAAATGGCCGCAACAGCTAGAACTATGCTGGTCTGAGGCCAGGAGCTTCCTCAGGGATGCAGGATCCCAAGACTTTGGGTCATCCTCTGCTACTTTCTCAGGCCATATACAGGAAGCTGGATGGCGAAATGGAGCAGCCAGGACACAAACAGCACCCACATGGGATGCCAGTACTTGCAGGTAGAGGATTAGCCAATTGAGTTATCACATGAGCCCCTATTATTTTCATCTTAAACAAAATCAAGTGTAAGTGGCTTTGTGAATGTGACTTTTCAAAACTCTTTTGTCTGTTTTCATCCTTCTGTCTTCAAGTTTAACTATCACCAGGATTTTATATTTCTGTTGCACTTAAAAATGAAAATTATGTTCCTTTTACAAAAATTTGGTATCTTGTAAGATACTTTCTAGTTGGCGTTCTGAAGTAAACGTTGCTCCTGGTATTGTTTGAGGTAGATAACAAAGCAAGATACCAAAGTTGAGCTGGAGACCTATAAGCAGACCCGGCAAGGTCTGGATGAAATGTACAGCGACGTGTGGAAGCAACTCAAGGAGGAGAAGAGGGTCCGACTGGTGAGTGTGCAAGCCGGCGGGTCCGGGGGCCTCCCAGGGGCCTTCTCAGCCACGTGCCCATGCCTGTCCCTGCCCGTTTTTCACAAGCCCTTTTATGTACAGCTCTGTTGTGCACTGTCACTCAGATACCTTCTCCTCCGTTCTACAGACCTCTTCTGGGGGTTGCCTTGAGACTAGATTTATGGTTTCTTTGACCATACTATTTTCACAGTCACAGGCCATGGCCCGTTTATTCCCACTCAGTCTGTGTATCCAGAATCAGTTCTCTCACACCTGCCTTACTTGGCTGCTTTGCACAATGTGGGAAATGAGTGCCCTAAACTTTGCAGGACAGACAAATGGGTGCACTTTAGGACCATGACCTAGCACACAGTCCCAGAAGCTCTGACACCACAAAGCAGCCAATGCCAGCCCTCAGGCACAGGACAGACATCCTTTTCAACTGCGTGTGCTCCTGTCGCTTGGGTGCTAGAACTCAAGGCACACCCTGCCACTGAGCAGCTTCCTGTCAACTTGACAGTGAGCGAAAGAACTTTATCATCCAGTTACACTCCAGACACTCTTCTCTCCAGACTGCTGTGGCTTGCAGCTTGTCCTTTAAACGTCGCCCACCATGAGGCTTCAGTGAAGTATATATCTGTGGCCTAATTTAACATCTTCCTTATAAATGTCCTCTTAAGGAACTGGAAAAAGAACTGGAGTTACAAATTGGAATGAAGACAGAGATGGAAATTGCAATGAAATTACTGGAAAAGGATACCCATGAGAAGCAGGACACCCTTGTTGCCCTCCGCCAGCAGCTGGAAGAAGTCAAAGCAATTAACTTACAGATGTTTCACAAAGTGCAGGTGAGTGCAGCCCATGTGGCAGACCTGGCCCTCTGCCCTCTCACATGTCCTGACAGTTGTTTTGTTTGATCCTTATGGCAATCCCCAAGGAATGGGGGAGGGGGGGTGTGAGTGACTAGATAGAACCCAGTAGCAAAATCACGAGCCCTTGGTGAAACGACAATTGAATAGAGCTGAGAACTGAGCTGTTGCTCTCTTTCATCACACCTTCCCTGCTCCCAGCAGGGAATTAAGAGATCATGTCCTGTTGTCACTTTATCCCAAGGTCAGTCTTGCTGAGTCTTCTGTCTGTGCTGCTGGCTTCCTGTGGCATTCCACGGGGATGTCCAAGTCTGAAAGCCACAGCACCCAAACTGGGGAAGCTTCCTCAGCCTGACGCTGCCCCAGGCTCCACTCTGTGTCCTTCTCAAGCTTATCCTCCGAGTTCTGCTTCCCACTTCACTTTCCATATGTGTCGCCTCGCTGTCACATCCAAGAACAAATGCACCAAGGAAAATATATGATGGCAGTCAGTATAGTAATGCGGGTTTGGTTTGGTTAATGAGAATCAGTATTACTCTAGCAACAAAGAAAAATGGAATGTTGGCCCTTGTTGCCAAGAGTGTGTTTTCATTTCTCATGTTTTTTTCTGTCTAAGGCCAACATATAAATCAGTGTTGATGCACGTAAATGACTAAACGACACTGCTGTCGTAGCTTGGCAGATTCTAGAGTGGCTGGAAACAACGAGGTTTGTGTTTCTGTAACTTAGTAGTTACAAGTGAGTGTTTCAGGCCTGCTCCTCACAGCATTGAGCTTCCCAGGCAGCTCTAGCCTGTCCTTCCTCCCGCTGGCAGAGGGACGAAGGCAGGAGTCCAGGGCCGGGGATTCTGTGGTGCAGTGAGAGTAGAGTCATACACAGCTTTGGCCATTACAGCCATCTGGGGAATCAGCCAGACCTTTCTCTTTGTCTCTCCTCTCTGTAACTCTACCTTTCAAATAAAGACAAAATAAATGTTAGAACAAAACAAACAAAGGAGAAAACACAGGAGTCAGGGTTAGATCATGAGCCAGGAGCTCTGTCCAGTTCTCCCACAATTACAGCAGGGGCCTAAATGCTTGGGCCATCAGCTGCTGCCTCCCTAATGCTTTATCCCAGGAAGCTGGGCCACAAACAGAATAGCCTGCATCAGACTGGCAATCCGAGGTGGGATGCTGGTGCCCCACGCAGTGACTTAGCCCCTAAGCCCAGAGTCGACCTCTGACGGGAGGGCTGCCTCCGCTGATCTACATGGCACCATCCATGGCCATATCTGGAGAGGTTACGGGGAATGAGTGCTCTAGGAGGCTGCACAGCTCTCATGGCCAGCTTCTGGCTGCCCCCACTTTGCCAGCCTGGCAGTCACATGCACTTTTTGGTTCAAATTCCTGTTTCCTCAGTCATAGCTGCTGCACAGTTCTCCAGTCTGGTTTTTGTTTGTTACTTTTTGGAAAGGAGAAAGAGATTTCCCATCTACTGGTTCACTCCCCAGATGGTCCTAACAGCTGACTGAGCCAGGCTGAAGCCAGAGTCAGTAACAGTCCATGTCTTCCATGTAGCTTGCAGGACATAGAGTCAGAAGCAGAGTAGGACTTCAAACCCAGGCACCCGGCTACAGGATGTGGGTGTCCTGTCTGGTACCTGCCTCCCTGGTTGATTTTTTTTTCAGCTCATTGGTTTTTAGAACTAAGTTGTTGGGTTAGCAGATACAAGGTGATTTAAGCATTCTTTATTAATGTATTTTATTACATTTCATTCCCTTGAGGTCAAATTTTGTATCCTTTCTGTAAGAGTTTCCTGTAAATGCCCAGGAATACAGAGTCCCCTAGGGACACTTGGTATCTGCCGTGGTTAGCACACTCTGGTGTCTTCTCCCACCCACCCCTGCCAGCTGCTCTCTGCATTCCTGGGCTTCCATCTTCCATGGGAGAAGGAGCCAACAGTGCCCCCTTGAGTCTCCTTCAGGGAACTAGTTGGCCTGACTCAGTAGCAGGGGGCTCCCAAGGTTCAAAGGCTGTATCATTCTTCTTTGCCTTTCTTTCCATTGGCAAATGGGAGCCTTGGACTGGTTTGTTCTCCAGCACTGTGGGGAGGAGCAGCAAGAGAAAGGGGCCAGGTGAGTGCTCAGAGCCTGCTGGGGCCAGGCAGCTCTCTCATGCTTGCTCTTGCAGGACGCCGAGAGCAACTTACAGCAGAAGAATGATGCCATCACATCTTTTGAGGGAAAAACCAACCAAGTTATGTCTAGCATGAAGCAGCTGGAAGAAAGGTAATCCCCTCTCCCTACAAGATGTGAGGCATTCTCTGGGCCTAGACACTGACCTGGAGACCACTGCCGGGGACAGTAGGTGAAGCCCCTGCTTATAATGCCAGCCTTCTGTATTAGGGTGCCAACTGGAGCCCCAGTTACTCCAGTTTGAGCTTAGATCCCTGATATTGCTCCTGGGAAGGAAACAGATGACAGCCGAAATGCCTGGGCCACTGCAGCCCACAGAGGAGACCAGAGTGAAGTTCTGGCTGCTAGCTTCAGCCTGTCCCAGACCTGGCTGTTACACGCACCTCCTAAAGGGAGTAAACCAGCAGGTGGAAGATCTCTTTCTGCCTCGTCACACTCTCTGTTGCTTTCTCTTCCCAGTAAATCTTTTAAAGGGGAAAAAAGAGTAAGTAAAGATGTCTTAGCAAAGACTAAGGGCCTCACCTGGCCATGAATTCAGTTAATCAGCCTCTCATGGGGTGGAAACTGCTTGGCCTGTCATTTTGCTTTTTTAAAAAGTTTATTTTATTTATTTGGAAGGTAATATCAGAGAGAGGGAGAGAGCTCTTCCACCCACCATTTCACTCCCCAAATGCCTTCACTGGCCACGGTGGAGCCAGGTTGAAGCCAGGAGGCCAGACCTCCATCCTTGTCTCCCACATCAGTGCAGGAGCCCGGAACCTCAGCTGTCCCTCACGAGTCAGGGGCAGGGGCACTCAGCCATCCCTCGTGGTCGGGAGCCCAGGCACCCCGCCGTCCCTCGTCAGTGCAGGATCCCGGGCACTCAGTCGTCCCTCACGAGTCAGGGGCAGGGGCACTCAGCCATCCCTCGTGGTCGGGAGCCCAGGCACCCCGCCGTCCCTCGTCAGTGCAGGATCCCGGGCACTCAGTCGTCCCTCACGAGTCAGGGGCAGGGGCACTCAGCCATCCCTCGTGGTCGGGAGCCCAGGCACCCTGCCATCCCTCGTCAGTGCAGGAGCCCGGGCACTCAGCCGTCCCTTGTCAGTGCATGAGCCCGGGCACTCTGGGTTCTCCCATGGGTCAGGAGCCCCAGTAGTCCACCGTCCCTCGTCAGTGCAGGATCCCGGGCACTCCACTGTCATCTGCCACCTCTTATGCACAGTAGCCAGGAAGCTGGATCCAACCAGGCACTCTGATAAGGGTTGGGGGCATCCCAAGCACTGGGTTACTGCACTGTTGCCACAACACGTATCTCCCCTGCACATGTAAATGCCAGGTCACAGGGGGTCAGAACAGAGTCCAGAAATAGACCCACAGAGCCACCAATGCAGTGCATTTTTAAAGATTTTATTTTTGTTGGAAAGTCAGGTATCCAGAAAAGAGGAGAGACAAAGAGGAAGATCTTCTGTCCACCGGTTCACTCCCTAAGTGGCCTCAACGGATGGTGCTGAGCCAAGCAGATCCGAAGCCAGGAATCAGGAGCTACTTCCTGGTCTCCCACTCGGCTGCAAAGTCCCAAAGCTTTGGGTCGCCCTGGACTGCTTCCCCAGGCCACAAGCAGGGAGCTGGATGGGAAGCAGGGCTTCTAGGATTAGAACCGGCACCCATATAGGATTCTGGTGCATGCAAGGCGAGGACTTTAGCTGCTGGGCTACTGCACCGGGCTCATTAACTATTTTTTTTAAGGATTTATTTATTTTTGCTTGGAAGATTTCAGAGTGAGGGGAGACAGAAATCTTCCATCCACTGGTTCATTCCCAAATGGCCACAAAGGCCAGCTCTGAGCAGATCTATAGCCAGGAGTTTACTCTGGGTCACCCATATGGGTGCAGGAGCCTAAGGGCTTGGGCCATCCTCCACTACTTTCCCAGGCCAAAAGCTGGGAGCTAAGATTTAAAGTGGAGCAGCAGGATAAGAACTGGTGCCCATATAGGATGCCAGTTCTACAAGTAGAGGTTTAGGCTACTTACAGCACCAACCCTGTGTCATAAATTTAAATGTAAAGCTTAAAAATTAAAACTTTTAGAAGAAAACAGAGTCTTCATCATGTTATGTTAGATCTTAAGTATTATCTTAAGGGGACAAGGTTGTAACTTTATCAAAAAATTTAAAACTTGTTTTGAGGGATTGTGGATGCTTTGCACAGCAGCTAAGACATGGCTCAGGATGCCCAAGAACCTGATTCAAGTCACAGTCCTCCACTTCCAGTAGTCGGCTTCCTACCAAGGTATACCCTGGAAGGCAGCTGGTCATCCTCCCATGCTTGGGGTCTGCCAGCCACATGGGAGAAGCAGATAGAGCTCCTGCCTCCTGGCTTCAGCCTGACTCAGCCCGGGTTGAACTAAGGAGGCAGCAGGTGACCCCAGCACAGGAGGCCCTGTGACCCCTGGGAAGACCCAGAAGTTTTGCTTTGTTTTGTTTATAAAGATTTATTTCATTTTTATTGGAAAATCAGATACAGAAAGGAGGAGAAACAGAGGGAAGATCTTCTTCCATTGATTCACTCCCCAAACAGCTGCAATGGCTGGAGCTGTACCAATCCAAAGCTAGGAGCTAGGAGCCTCTTCTGGGTCTCCAACGCAGGTGCAGGCACCCAAGGCTTTGGGCTGTCCTCGGCTGCTTTCCTAGGCCACAAGCAGGGAGCTGGATGGGAAGCAGGGCTGCCTGGATGTGAACCTGCACCCGTATAGGATTCTAGGCATGCAAGGCAAGGACTTTAGCAGCAAGACTACTGTGCCGGGTGCTCCCAGAAGGAGTTCTAAGCTCCTGGTGTTGGCCTGCCCAAGCCCTGGCCTTTGCAGGCATTTGGGGAGTAAACCAGCAGAAAAGAGATGTATGTCTGTCTGTCTGTCTCTGTCTCACCACCTTCCAAATAAAATAAAAATAAATATTTAAAAATAAAAATGGAGACAGAAGACTCAAAAAAAAAAGAAAGAAAAAGAGGCTCATGAAGGAAAGCAGCTCTGCAGAAAGCCACCGTGACACTGACATGGAACGTTTTCAGTAGGCAGGTTTGCAGTTTCCATTAACTTGTGTGATATTGGTCACATACTTAGCAGCCATTTGTAGGTAGGGTTCATTATCATGTCACCTCGAACGGCACTTTATCCTAAGGATTGAGTTCCAGCAGCCTCGTTTCTTTCTGTACTTAACGCTCATTCAAAGGCTTTTTTAAAAAGCAGCCAGAATGACTGAAGACTGAATTAACTTTCTCTTAGAACCATTTCAGAAGTTGATTCGCTTACAGGCGTCACACAGGCTCTTGTTCTGACTCAGTTAACACTGCCTTCTGCTTATTTGAACTCCAATCTGCTCTGCTCAGTCCAGATGAGGCCCTCTCCTAACACTGCTTAATAATCCCAAACAGTTTAGGATAAGTAAACCCAAGACTGAATTTTTTTTTTTTTAAAGATTTATTTTATTTTTACTGGAAAGGCGGATATACAGAGAGGAGAGACAGAGAGGAAGATCTACCATCTGATGATTCACTCCCCAGGCGGCTGCAACGGCCGGAGCTGAGCCAATCCGAAGCCAGGAGCCTCGTCCGGGTCTCCCACGCGGGTGCAGGGTCCCAAAGCTTTGGACCGCCCTCAACTGCCTTCCCGAGCCACAGGCAGGGAGCTGGATGGGAAGCAGGGCTGCCGGGATTAGAACCGGCGCCCATATAGGATCCCGGGCGTGCAAGGCGAGGACCTTAACCACTGCGCCACCGCGCCGGGCCCAGAGACTGACTTTCAATCCCTAATGACCTCATCTGTGAGTCCTAATCCTTGAAAATATGTTATATTCAATTTTTTTTAAAGGAAGGAAGATACAGTTATACAAATTTAAAGGCATGTTATAAACTTGAATATTTGCAGATCCATATCTGATAAAAATGTGAATCAATAATATATAAAGAACCTTCAAGGTCAGCAGTATAGACAAACAGTCCACTTTACAAGTGGGCTGTGTGACTTGGGCCCTGCGCGGTAGCCTAGTGGCTAAAGTCCTCTCGCCTTGCATGTGCCAGAATCCCATATGGGCGTAGGTTCATGTCCCCGCAGCCCAGCTTCCCATCCTGCTCCTTGTTTGTGGCCTGGAAAAACAGTCTAGAACAGCCTTAAGCCTTGGGACCCTGCACCCACATGAGAGACCTGGAAGAGGTTCCTGGCTTCAGATGGGCTCATTTCCGGCCATTGCAGCCACCTGGGGAGTAATCATCAGATGAAAGATCTTCCTCTCTGTCTCTCCTCCTCTTTGTACATCTGGCTTTCCAATAAAGTCAATAGATAAATAAATCTTTTTTAAAAGATCATTTGCAACTTGAGCTCACTTTTCTCCGAGAGGACCCACAGTTAGTAACCAAGCCCGTGGAAGAACAGGCAGCATCGCTAGCCAGGAGAGGCACTCCCGCGGCCGTCGTGACAAGTAGGGCTGGCTGTGGTACCCATGGGCCGTGTGCCTGCCGGGCTGTTTCTGGATTGCAACCACGCCTCTGCCCTGCATTCCAGCTCTCTGCTAACAGCACCCTGTGAGCAGCTGCTGAGGCAAGTGCTTCAATCCCTGCTGCCCGTGTGGGAAATGTAGACTGATTTCCCAGCCTCTGCTTCATCTCTCTTTGAAATAAATAAGATATTACAAGCTCCCGTGCACATCTACCAAAGTGGCCTTGTTTGGTTTTGTGTGAAGTGGCCGAAGCCCTCTGCTCCTCCTGGGGGACTGCAGGCATCTAACTGGGATACCATGAGACCACATTGGCTGCCCCAGCTGGTTTGTGATTTCCTTAAAGACGACATGAGTACTGCTGTGAGTATATAGTGGCTAGGAGGTGGTGCCAGAGGCAGTGCCTGGCAGCCTGGGCTCCAAGGCAGCAGCCCCGGGGCAGATGGTCATAGCACATAGCCTAACCCTGCAGCGGTGCGCCTGCTTTCTACCAGGTGGAAGAAAACATTCCACCAAGCAACACCCAGAACTGTGCCACAGCTACCTTCACAGTAGCCCAGATCTGGAAGGGCCTCCTGCTGAGGCACAGCTCCTCCCCTGCAGGAACCAGCTGCCAAACCCAGGATGCTCTCCTAGGAGGAAGCCAGCTTCTAGCAGCTTCCACTGATGTGAGCTTCCCAAGAAGACAGACTCAGAACACAGCAGTGTTAGCTGAATGCAGTGGGTGGCAGCACTGGCAAGCACTGGCAAGCACTGGAGGGCTTGGGGGCTGTGCTTCACCTGAGTGTGATGGTGCTGCATCTGTGTGTAAAACCAGGGAGCCATTCTCCCACAGCAGTCAGCTTCACTCTACTTATTCTCAAATCATTTTTTTTTAAGATTTATTTATTTGTATTGGAAAGGCAGATGTACAGAAGGGAGGAGAGACAGAGAGGAAGATCTATCTGATGATTCACTCCCCAAGTGACCGCAACAGCCAGTGCTGTGCTGATTTGAAGCTAGGAGCCAGGAACTTTTTTCTGGGTCTCCCACATGGATGCAGGGTCCCAAGGCTTTGGGCTGTCCTCGACTGCTTTCCCAGGCCACAAGCAGGGAGCTGGATGGGAAGCAGGTCTGCCAGGATTAGAACCGGCGCCCATATGGGATCCCAGCACATTCAAGGCGAGGACTTTAACCACTGCGCTGTCACGCTAGGCCCGTTCTCAAATCAGTTTAACCCAACAAAAAATATATCAAATCAGTTTAACCCAACAAAAAATATATCACAAAAATTAGATTGTGAGGATTAATGAGTAAAATGGGACACGAAGGGAAATTGGAATTCAGGTAAACAATAAGTGTATGTTTCATATTATGTGTATATTCCAAGAACTACTTGAGACATATATGTGACATAATTATACTGAAAACACAGGTATGTTTGTCATGTTAGAAAGACTGAAGTTGGGCCCAGCACAATTGCGTAGTGGTTAAAGTCCTCTCCTTGCACGCCAAGGATCCCATATGGGTACCGGTTCTAATCCTGGAGGCCCTGCTTCCCATCTGGCTTCCTGGGAAAGCAATCGAGGACGGCCCAAAGTCTTGGGACCCTGCACCCGCATGGGAAACCCGGAAGAGCTCCTGGATCCTGGCTTCGGATTGGCTCAGCTCCAGCTGTTGCAGTCACTTGGGGAGTGAACCATTGGACAGAAGATCTTCCTCTCTTTCTCTCCTCTTCTCTGTATATCTGCCTTTCCAATAAAAATAAACAAATCTGGAAAAAAAAAAAAAAGGACTGAAATTGGACTCTGGAGTTTTCCCCCAACATCCCTGGGAACAGGTTTGGTTCCAGATGTTTCCTGATGTGCAAGGAGAAGGTACACTGAGCAGGGTTTTTCTCCTCCCCGCCGTCTAGGTTGTATCTCTCGGACCAGGCAAGACGGGGTGCTGAAGAGCGGAGCCGCAAGCTGCAGCAGGAACTAGGCAGCCGGGTGGGCGCCCTGCAACTGCAACTCTCCCAGCTGCACGAGCAATGGTAGGCAGCGCGGCCAACACAAAAGGCAGTAGCTCAGGGCCTTGGCCCTTGGGACTCATGCTGTAAGGCATGTGCTAGAAAGGGCACAGGTGCCAGGCAGAGGGGCACCGTCAGGGGCCCCTTCGCAGCAGTGATACCTCAGGATGGTGCCAAGGGCCCCTGGCAGTATCACGTCAGTGGCCAGGGTGGGAGGGTTCCCCATGCCCCATACACTGTGGTGGATTGTGGCTCTTGCATGGCAGTCTCCCACTGACACTAACGCTGTTCGTTTTGGTGAGACAGCTCCAGTCTGGAGAAAGAGCTGAAATCAGAGAAAGAACAAAGGCAAGCCCTGCAGCGAGAACTGCAGCAAGAGAAGGACACCTGCTCACTGCTCCGCACAGAGCTGCAGCAAGTGGAAGGACTGAAAAAGGTGAGAGGCACAGCCCTTAGCAGGCAGCTCCTGGAGTGAGTCTCCAGGCCAGCCCGCAGCCTCTGTCACAGGTGAAGGAAGACAGCCCACTGTCACTCCATGAAAGCCTGGGAGATGCCGAGCAGCTGCTGGGAACCTGGGCATACGGCAAGAAGGAGGCCTCTGTGAAGCAGGAGGGGCACAGAGGGGGCATGGGACACTCAGGGAGCTTCTGGGTAGTTGTGAGCATGACAGGAAGCTGCTGGCCAGGGACATCACCTAGCAGACAAGCAGCAGCTCCTGTGTGCCTAGTGTCTCAGATATTTACAAGGCAGGAAAGTGCAGATGCCCACCCTTACCCCAACTCCTACCAGTGCTGCCTCATGCTCTGGAGGCTCCATCTCATTTAAAGGCCTGACGGGGTTCCAAGTCTCAGCGAGTTAAGACCTAGGGTGTGCTGATGGGGTACCCATGTGCTCATGGTGCCAGACCTCCCAAGGGCACTTGGGCCTGGCCAGGCCACTGCTGCCTGTGAGCTGCTCACGGTGGCTGCCTCGGCTGTCCCCAGGGGTTCAGCACCCTCTGCACCCAGACGTTGCCAAGGCAGAGAGCCCACATCCCTGTTTCCTGGGCACATGTCAGGCAGCAGCACTGAACACAGTAATAATGGACACCACTGCACAGTGTGTTCTCTTAATTTTCACAGACATAAACAATTGTGGGTATTTATGAGGAATGATACAATTCTTTGGTCTATGAATACATTCTATAGTATCAGGGTAAATCTCTAGACATTAACAGTTCTTTACGGTTAAAATATCTAAAACCCAACTTTTAGTTAGTTTTTTCACAGAGGTACACACAATACACTGCTATTCTCCTGAGTCACCCCCACAGCAGTGTCTGCTAGAAGATGGAACCGCCATGAGGGGATGGGCTTTGTGAGGTACCCTCGGAGCTCTTAGGCAAGCAGGAGAGGGCTCAGAGAAGCCAGCCTGTGTGGAGTGCACCTCTGTTCCACTGCGAAGTAATAGCTCCTTGGAGTCCCGAATGATCCCACTCTACCAGCCAAACAAAGCAGAAAAAAAAAAACTGTCTAATGTACCTTCACCAGGCATCACCAGTGGTTGTGGGAGCCTGTGTGTGAACGGGATCTTTAGGGCTAAGCCTGTCTGATGTTCCCCCAAGGGGGCTTGGAGACCCCAAGTTCCTTTCTGGACCTTCAGGGAGCCATGCCAGCCTGTCACAGGGTGCACCAGCCCCCAGTGATGCATGGTTATCAGCACTGCCAGCCCCCCATGAGTCCTGTCCCCAGGCCCGTCCCTGGGTCTCATGAACCTGACAGTCCAGCCACTCTCAGGCTGTGAGCACAGTCCCAGGGTGTGGCCTTCATCATGCTTGCCTGTGTACTCTCAAGAACTTCTGTCTAGCCCTTTGCGAAAACAGCTTTTTCCATGCTGATCAGAAAGTCATCTCTCAAGCTAGCTTTCACTGCTGCTGCTGCTTGAAATTTTGTGGAAGGTTCATCTTATTTTGTGTGCTTTTCTTTCTTTTTAAAGATTTATTTATTTTTATTACAGTCAGATATACATAGAGGAAGAGAGACAGAGAGGAAGATCTTCCTTCTAATGATTCACTCCCCAAGTGAGCGCAACGGCCGGTTCTGTGCCAATCCGAAGCCAGGAACCAGGAACCTCTTCCAGCTCTCCCACGTGGGTGTAGGGTCCCAAGGCTTTGAGCCATCCTGGACTGCTTTCCCAGGCCACAAGCAGGGAGCTGAATGGGAAGTGGAGCAGCCGGGATTAGAACCGGCGCCCATATGGGATCACAGGGCGTTCAAGGCGAGGACTTTAGCCGCTAGGCCATGCCGCCGGGCCCTTATTTTGTGTGTTTTTAAGAGTTGTCGTTTTTAAAATGCCTTGTTTCAGTAAAAGCTCAGACAGGTGAAGACCTGCTTGCTGTGAGGAGGACCATTTACTGCGCCAGAACCATGTCACAAGGTGCCGTCCCTCTCCCATTCCCGGCAGATGGCCTGAATCAGAGGCAGTGGGAAGCAGTTTGGGCCGAAGATGGCCTTCATTCAACAACTCTGCTTTTTGCCCTCAAAGCATCCTGATCTGCTTGTTGCTCTGCTTGCTGGTGCTCACTAAGAGGCGAAGCAGGGCTGGTGACTTGACGCCAAGTGCCCGGTTTGTTCCCTGTAGGAGCTGCGGGGGCTCCAGGATGAGAAGGCCGAGTTGCAGAAGATCTGTGAAGAGCAAGAGCAAGCCCTCCAGGAAATGGGACTGCACCTCAGCCAGTAAGAGCCCAGACTCCCTCCTCTGTCCCTTGTGTGTTAGCCTTTCCCCGCGCCCTGTCCCAGGGGCACGTTGCACACATGTGCTGCCTCATCATCAAGGGGCCAGATATTTCTAGAAGGGGGACTAACCAGCTGTCTGCAGTGAACTCCCAGCAAGGCAGGCCTCAGGGTGGGCCCAGAACTTGTCCAGCCAATAAGGGTGTTAGTTGCTGCCTGTTAATCATTCAGCACAGTTTTTTGGTGGGGGATGGAACTTTCACATTCCTTTACTTATCTGGGTTCTGAAGGGAACAAATGAGTGGTGTCAGGGTCACTTGGCCAGCCCACAGTGGGGCCACGTACAAGAGCTTCACTCTGCTGAGCCTAGCCCACCTGCCTACCAGGCTTTGTTTCCATTGCATGGTGGGAAGAGTGCACCTTGCTCGTTCTACTGCCTTTGGCCTTGGCAGCTGCCCTCACCCTTACACTCCAAGCCCTGGCCCACTGTGGCCTAGACTGGCTCATCTTACAACTCAAAGGGTGCAGAGCTTTTTTTGCTTGGGAATAATCTCAGCTGGCTGCAGCCATGGGAAGCCACGAGGAATCTGTCTCCTCCTCCACCCCCATGCTTGCCTCTCAGACAACTCAGAATCCATTGGGGGCCCAGGAACATCCATCAAAGGCCCCACCTGTCTGACTCCTTGCTCCCTGAATCCTGTACAAGCATAACAACCTGAGGAGGCTCTGTGACCTGTGCCACCTAGGCTCAGCATGTAGGGCAGGGCCAAAAGAGGCCACAGAGGGGGACCAGCGAGAGAAGACGCTGAAGCCACCCCAACTTAGTATCCACAGATGTTTCCGATGTGGGAGATTGCCAGGTCTGCTGTCAGGAAGGAGAATTTGAGGACCGTGGCTGCTCAGGGTTTCCTGAGCCCCACCTGCTACCCTCAGCCAGGTGCTTGCCCCGCTGCTCTGGGCCTGCTCCCCTGCCAGGAGCCCTATCAACATGAAGCAGAACCAGACCAAGGGGCAGGCCCTAGGGCGCAGCTACAGTTCCTATCTATACTTGGAACACATCCCTTCCCCCATAGACAAGTGCTTGATCCAAGTCCCAGCTGCTTCACTTCTGACCTGGTTTCCCATGCAACAGGTGATGGAAGAGCTTGAGCCCCTGTCACCCACGCCCCTCGGAGACCTGAATGGAGTCCCAGACTCCTGGCCTTTGGGGAGAGTACCATCCTTTTGTCACTCCCCCTTTCAAAGAGATGAAGAAAGCAAGGCAGCCAGGAGCCAGAGGCTGGTCCGCAGCTGGCCACAAAGGTGCGGCCAGCCGTGCTGAGTGCATGTCCCTCACCTCCATCCTCAACGCTGGCCCGGCAGCAGGGCAGAGCACATGCGGGCCCACTGTAGTGGGTGACTTCGGGTGCTGCTGCCTGACCCAGCTCTACCTCGCAGCCCATGCCCCATCAGTGAAGGTCTGTGACACACAGGGCCATGTGCTTAATGCCCAGGTAGGGTCACCCGTGTGGTTCCCATATGGTCTGTTCCCATTTTCCTCTTCCTGCAATCACATGCCAGGTGACAAAGAAGGGAAAGCATGGCTCCCCATCCCCTGTGCTGTGTCCCAGCATCTACCTTGGGGACATTTGAGTTCTTTATGTTTCCCACAGAGTTACTATGTTTTCAGTCACCATCCTGACCTGGTTTCCCAAGTATGCCCATCTGAGTGGCTGGGAGGAGAGGGAAGGCACTGCCTGTTTGGAATTCACCAAGGCCACAGCATATTTCTGGATGCTGTGAGGCTGTTTTCCTGCCTTCCCTTGGTGATGTATGTCAGCTAGGGGCCTGCCATGTTGACACCTAATCTAGGGGTTGGACTAAGCTCAGCTTCTAGGAAAGGTGCTGACGGCCACTCCCCACTTGAGCTCAAGCCTGTGTCAGGCACACAGTGGAAACCTGTACTTGCTCTAACGAGACTGGAGCAAGGCCAGCCCGCTCTGCCCTGTGAGCCTGAAGATGCTCCTGTGCTCCAGGGTCAGTCCAGGTCCCAGCCCGGGAAGATTGCCTGGAAAAGCCAGAAACTTGTGCTTCCAAGAAGTCACTCTGTTGTGTTTGTGTTTATTACTGAAGAGGCAGAGACAAAGAGCACTTTCATCCATTTGTTCACTCCCCCAATGCCTGCAATGGCTGGGCCAAGTCAAAGTTGGGAGCTGGGAACTCAATCCAGGTCTCCGCGGGGCGGGAACCCAAATGAACCACCACCTCTGCCTCCTGAGTCTGCATTCACAGGAAGTCAGAGCCCAAGCACTCCATCCCACATGGGACACAGGTGTCTTAACTGCTGGGCCAAACACCTGCCCATTCTGTTTTTGGAGTATTGCAACCATTTCAGTCTTCTTCAATGCTTGCAAGCAAAGTGTGGTTTTCCCTGGCCAGATTCCTTCCCCAGACTCAGCCCCAGATTCATTGGCCATATGAGTTAATGCAACAAGGTGACCCTGTGACCAGGTGTGGTGTGTGACACCTCACCCCAGGGTACTCTTCTCCCTCACCAGCCCTCCCCAACCCTCACCCAGCTCCGAGTCACTGGGTTAGCCGGGCAGAGTCCTTCAGCTTTTTTCCACGGCTATGAAATGGTTTTTATTCTTCTTATTATTATTATTTTAGATCCAAGCTGAAGATGGAAGACATCAAGGAAGTAAACAAAGCCCTGAAGGTACTGGAGTTGGCATCAGTGCTACTGGCAGGTGCAGGTATCCCAGCATAGAGGTTCCTGGCTGACCCAGCAAGTGGCAAGGCAATGCCCAGGCTTCAGTTTTCATTTCCAGTTCCTCTGCCATCAGCTGTAGTCTGTAAATAGGCCAGGAGTTGATGGGTCTCCTGAATAATTCAGCACAGGGTAGCAGGGAAGATTCTTTATCCAAGCAAGGAGCTAAAGAAAGACCACCCCCTGTTGTGTCATGAACCCTTTCTGAAAAATACTAATTGGAACCCTGAGTTGGTACCAGGCTTCTGGACTGTTCAAAAAGGACAGTATTCCTGGGTAAAAAAAAAAAAAAAAGGGTTAGGGTTGGGGTTAGGATTAGAACAGACATATATGTATCCTGGGTAGGTTATAGGTTAGCCCCTTGACACCCCTTGCTAGGAGACATTCTGAGCTGCCAAGCCCCATCCCAGGGCAGGCTACGCAGGCCACTCTGTAGGTCAGTGCCCAACACAGGCCCCTTAGAGCAGGAAGACTCCTGCCCTCCCCACCCATGGTAGGGCTCCCACCCCGGGGCTTGACCATGCTCAAGCACATAGCAGGTCAGAGGCAGTCAATTGTAGAGCCCACGGGAACCATCCCATGGGTAGACTGCAGAGCTGTAGGGAAATATCCAGGCACTAGTGAGTGAGGAGAAACCCCATGGCACGGATGTTAGGAGAGGCACCTTGGGTACGCTGCCTGAGGAAAACTTATGTAGAACTTGTGTCAAACACCCATGTGCCTCTGGGCCAGCAGAAGAGGGGTGGGCTGCACACGAGGTGCAGGTCCCCTCAATTCTTGCTGGCCACTGTCCTCGGGATGGGCCACAAAGGGGAATTGCTGAGGCCTGTCTTCTCCACAGGGCCACACGTGGCTGAAGGATGACGAAGCAACACACTGTAAGCAGTGTGAAAAGGAGTTCTCCATTTCTCGAAGAAAGGTATGCAGGGGTGGGGCCAGCATACAATGGTCCCAGCAGTCTCAGCCCTTCCAGGGACCTGCAGGTTCCTTGGAAGTTAGACCTATTTTTGTGCAGACTTCCTGTCACACGAGAATAATCTGCATGCGAACTATGAAATCTGTCAAGTGGGAGTAAAAACCACCTAGGGAGCAGCCAGTCAGGTAGTCTACTGCTAACTTTGGCAGGGTACTTGCCACTGGGCTCATCTGCCCCTTCATCTGTGGCCTGCCTTCAGGCTCTGAGACCAGGAAATCCTGGGCCCACCTGCCTTTTGTTCCAGGGCAGACTAGGTGTGATAAAGCCAGATGGGCAGGGCTCAGCACAAAGCCCCGGGATCACTAAGAAGAAGCAGAATGCCCACCCACCCTCTGTGGAAGAGGAAGCCAGGATTCTCCTACCTGCTTGCCAGTGCTTGTGATAGGTTGAGCCCTCCCAGCAGCCCTATGGCTGCCTTTGCCATTGTGTCTGTGCCCAGCGTCTCCCAGAGGTTGGGCAGCTGTTGCCATGAACAGTCCAGCTCCACAGTGCAGAGCAGTAGTATCTGCATTTGTAATGTTCGATGGCTGACATCTGGCAGCCCTATTTATACAGCCTGAGATAGTTGGGCCAGCAGGGAACCCCAGCCTCACACAGTTAGAGGGAACCAGGCTCTTCATGTGCCAGCACAGGCTATACAGAGAGGAAACCTAGTAAGCCCATACCCCACTGGCAAGGCAACCCTGGCAATGAACTAGTAATGCACCACGCATGAGGTTGAGCGAGGGGGCACCCAGCAGGTTAGGCTTGCCGTGACTACCTCTCTCCCACTCTAGCATCACTGTCGCAACTGTGGCCACATCTTCTGCAGCAGCTGCTCTAGCAATGAGTTGGCCCTGCCCTCCTACCCCAAGCCAGTGCGCGTGTGCGACAGCTGCCACACCCTGCTCCTGCAGCGCTGCTCTTCCACCACCTCCTGACCACCCTCCTGGGTAATAGGCAGCCTCAGCAGCACTGCCCAGGTGTGGACCTCCAGGCTAAAGGGCCCATCATGCCAGGACTGGAAGCTGTGTGTCTGTCTGCCGCCTGTGGAAGTAACTCCTCTGGGTTCTCAGCTCTTTCATCATCCTGGATATATCGCTGGTTTTGGTTCAAATGGAATGATTTTGCTGTCATTTTTCACTTCTCCAAGAATTAATCACAATTGTTGCAGCAGTTGTGCCAATTTCTCTTCTCCTGGCCCACCTTTGAGTTTGTGCGCAGTGCTTTAGACCACATTGCAGGGGTGCGGGGCTGAGGGTCTAAGTGAGGAGGGTGTAATAAAATCCTTTATTTTTCACTCTGATGCATAGGAAATGAACTTGAGTCATCTTCACAAGTGCCAACAAGCCCTCCCAACAGCAGGGTCTTGGGGGTCTGAGATCTCAGGGCAATCCCTAATAGTCCATCAAGGGTAAAGGCCCTGGACAGAAGGGCAGGCACTGTGGAACATCAGGCTGAGCTGCCTCAGTGTGCCTGGTTCAAGCCCTGGCTCCTCGGCTCCAATCCTGCTTCCTACTGCTGCACACACACAGGCAGCAGTGATGGCTGCAGTACTTGGTCCCCTGCCACCTACATGGAAGGCTCCTGGCTTTCAGGGAATGAATCTGCAAAGAAAAAACAAGCCCAGCACTTGCCATCCAGCTCCCTTGCTGGTGACCTGGGAAATGTCCTACACCCAGCGTGGAGGCTCCTAGCTTTTGTTCAGTACAGCTCCAGCTATTCTGGCCATGTGGAGAGTGAACAGCAAATAGCATGAATGTCTGTAAATCTGATCTGCCTTTCCAGTAAAATAAATCTTAAAAGAAAAAAAAAGGGGGGGGGACATGTCCTTTACAATTAACCCTAAACATGTTCAAAACATTGTTAGCCAACTTCATCTGACACAAACCTATTTCATCAATCACCATCAAATAAGAGATACAATGGCTATGTATTCCTGCACTATGGTACATGGGGAGCTTCCTGTAGAAAACCCATTTTTAATTTCAAAGGCATTGTGGAATGCTATGTGGCTAGAGGAGGACCCCAGCGTGTGCTCACACTTGCTTCCACTGTAGGGGCAGGTAACCTACAGCATCCTGATGGAATGACAGTGACCCCTGCATCTTTCTTTCTTGGCTGGTGCCTGCCGTCTGTCCAGGGCCCTGCCCTCAGTGCTTCTGACCCAACCAGGGATCAGTGCGGTTAACATCTGTGCTATGCTCTCAGCGGAGTGCATTTATTCCCAAACCTGTTCTATGGTTCGGTAATAGCAAGGTTAGGGCCTAGAACTTGGGGCCATCCACTAGTTCACTTCCTAAACGGCCACAATAGCTGCGGCTGACCCAAGCCTAAACTGTAAGAGGCCCCAAGCAGTGGAGCTGCTTTCCTGGTGCATTAGTAGGCAGTGGATCAGCCAAAACTGCCACCAGGCTTCTACACTATGTCTGCCTAGCTCCCAAATCCGATAAACTGGGAGTTTTTAAGCCCTAGCAGCTGAACACATTGCAGCAAAATGGCCCTCTTTCCTTCCACCAAACAGCTGTCAGCAACAGGACAATCCAGCTGCACTTTGCAGGTGTGACTCCCCAGGCAAGCCACTCCACTATACACTTGAGCTTTCACCTAACGCCTCTTGTCATCAACCTCCTACTGCTGTTCCTGGCACCCATGAAGTGCCCAGTAAAGCCAATCAACATTAGGTACTTGGCTCAGTGTCGATGTAACTTCTCAGAATCTAAAACATGCGTAGACTACCCTGGTGGCACACCACTCAACCTGAGAAGGTGTCATCTTAAGGTAGTGCTTCCCAAACACTCATAACCAGGGCAGGGAGAAGCCACATCCTGGAGCATCTTCCTGGAAGGCACACGTACATGGGAGACCCAGACAGAGGTCTAGGCTCCTGGCCTTGGCCTGGCCCAACACTTGCCGTTTGGGTGCTCAGAGATGGGAAATCTGCTCCTCCAATAAAAAACAAAAATGCAGACTGTCAACTAAGGCCAGATTTTAAACAAGCTCTAGGTAAAAATGCTGGTTCTTGCGTTTTACTGGGCTCCAACATCCTGACAACAACCCAGAGTTCTGCTTTCATTTTAGACTTGATCCCACATCGTACCTCTACCTAGAGTCTTCAGGGCCTGGCGCAATAACGTAATGGTTAAGGTCCTTGCCTTGAACGCACCAGGATTCCACATGGGTGCTGGTTCTAATCCCGGCAGCTCCACTTCCCATCCAACTCCCTGCTTGTGGCCTGGGAAAGCAGTTGAGGACAGCCCAAGGCCTTGGGACCCTGCACCCACGTGGGAGACCTAGAAAGAAGTTCCTGGTTCCTGGCTTCGGATTGGCACAGCACTGGCTGGCTGTTGTGGTCGCAGCCACTTGGGGAGTGAATCATCAGACAGAAGATCTTCCTCTTTGTCTCTCCTCCTCCCTGTATATCTGCCTTTCCAATAAAATAAATCTTAAAAAAGGAATCTTCATACTTGATCCATTTCCAACAGGACATCCCCAAGTGTAGTACAGGACAGAGGTGTCCTAAGTCTTAGCAACACATCCCAATTCCTGATCAGATTTCAGAGGCAGCATGAAGCTTGGAAACACTGCTCTAGCACCCTCCCCGATCCAGTCCAGACCTTGGTTGAGCTGCAGCCAGTCCTCACTCACTTTCCAGGTGTACAAACACTGGATGAAGAACCAATTCTGCCCATCCAACTACCTTAAGAAAAATCTCACCACAGGTCAAATTTTGTTTAGGGGGAGAGTGGAGCAGGCAGACAGGAGGAGGCTTGTATCCCAACCCTGAAGACTCCTAGATCCTCACCAAGGACTATAGTGCGAGCTCCGAGGACTACATCCCAACCACCAAGGAGAGCGCGGGGAATAGGAGTGCCTTCGGAGGCCGAGAACTCTGAGGTCACCCACCTCCATTTGGATCTCCCACATGGGATGGAAGAAGCCCATACCCCGCTTTGCAGGATCCAAGGTCATCGGAACCACAACCAGGAGCACTGAGCAGTCCACAGAACCAAACAGTAAACTTGCTTCAGGACTAGGGAGAGGAGCTTTCTCTGGTTCTTGCCTGGTGCCGACCTTGGGTCCCCACTCTCTCTCAGTGACCATCAGGATCACTCCAGAAACCCCTCAAAGTAAACTAGCAAACAAACAAAAAACCTAGAATAGAAACAGCACATGTGATCATCAGGGAGAGGAGGCAAAGCCGACAGGGACATGTGCGCTCCCCTGCTGGATAACTACTTCAATTGGAAAGAGTCGGCATGGGGGCAGACCAGACTAGGCGGGGCTGTTAACACCTGCGGGCCTCATGTGAGCTACATCAGGGAAAGGCCAGGTTGGGCTGTTCCCACTGGTGCAAGCAAAAATTAGTGGGCGAGGGCTGGTTGGGCTTTGCTGCAGCAGAGGCTGGCACTGAGAGCTAATTCTGTCAAGTCAAATGCCAGACCCACCTGGAGAGTGCATAATCTGGGAGTGGCCTAGTAGGGAGATAGTGGGGACCTCCCTCTTGGGTTACCACTCACTGGACAGCACAAAAACCAGGACAGGGGTAGGGGTGGTTAGACAGAAAGGCACCTGCCAGGTGTATGGGCTGGGTAATAGGGCTGGTTGGGTTGAACTAGGGTTCAATGCTCATTGACATGTGCGAGAGCTAAGTGGGATGTGGGACAGACTGAACAAGTCTGCGGTACATAAGTGACAAGCATGGGAACCAGGGTAGAGCTCATAGGGAGTTACCCCGACTAGGCTGCAGCTCCAACTGGTTTGCATGAGGACCAAGTATGAAGTGGGCAGGATCGAGCTGGACTACAACACCCGTTGGTTCATGAGGAAGACAGGGCTGGAAAGAGAACAGACCCAGCAATCGCAATGACCAGCATGTGCGTAAGCTGATTGGTGTGACAGCGTTCAAGTCTGAACTAGCAAACTCCTCAAGAATCAGGTCTGGGATCACCTCAGGTGAAGTTTCTTTGGAGATCCCTCCAACTGAACTGCTGCTCTTGGAACCCCAACCATCAAGAGACTGTCAGCCAGTGGACTCTGAATAGGTTTCATTGCGATTGGAACTGCAAGATTGGCAGCAACCCAGAACTGATGAACTATCAAAACTGCTTGAGCAGGACCCTCAGAGTGTGCCTCCTGTTGGGGATCTGGGATGGGTGGGAGGTTGGGTGGGACTTTTCCCTTTGTTACTCCCCTAACCCCAGATACAGGGGAAAATATTAGTGTGGAGACAATGGCATTACCCACTTTCACCCTGTAGCTCTTGACCCTTTTGTACCCATTAACTAAGATTATTAAAAAATAATTAAGAGGGCCCAGCGCGGTGGCACAAGTGGTTAAAGGTCCTCTCCTTGCACGCCCGGGATCCCATATGGGCGCCGGTTCTAATCCCGGCAGCCCCGCTTCCCTTCCAGCTCCCTGCCTGTGGCCTGGGAAAGCAGTCGAGGACAGCCCAAAGCTTTGGGAACCTGCGCCCGCGTGGGAGACCCGGAAGAGGCTCCTGGCTTCGGATCCGCATAGTATCGACCCGTTGCGCTCACTTGGGGAGTGAATCATGGGCCGGAAGATCTTCCTCTCTGTCTCTCCTCTCTGTATATCCGCCTTTCCAATAAAAAAATAATAAAAATAAATCTTTATAAAAAAAATAATTAAGAAATTGTAGCATGATCCTGCCTAAGCAGTGTCACTGGACTTCCAGCCTCATGACCTATCTCACAATTGTTCAGACTTATCACCTAAGGAGTTATGTAGGTAATGCTTCCAAAGCTCCTTATACAGCTCAACATAAAGCCAGCTCAATTTCTAGCCAACAGCCTGTGGGCATGCCTGGCACACCTAAAAGCCTCTTCTTGAACGTGCAGGCCATGGAACAGAGGAACTGGCCATCAACCCTGGCTTGGCTCAAGTGCTGAGCCAGCTACAGGCAGTCAGGGAACAGACCACCCTTCCACACGCCAGTTACCTGGGGTTGCACTGGAAGAAGTCGGAAGCACCTATAGCTCAGCCTCCGCTGCAGAGCCTCTGCCACAGCCCCACACAGAGGAGAGCACCAACAAACAGCCCACTGAAGCACAATGTGCAGTTTTTTTAAGGAAGATTTATTTGACAAGTTTCACTTGGCGCAATACACCTAAAAGGAAATCACAATACAATGAAAAATTTAAATCAAGGCCTCAGAACTTCAAACACCAAGACCAAAACCCTAAAGTACTGGTATTGCGTCTCAAATTTTTGGTTAACTTAGAAAAGCTTAAAACTTACGTGCCTTACAGGTTATTAAATGAAACTAGAATTAACAAACATGCC